AAAAAAAAAAAAAGGACAGAATTCTCATTGACGAGTGATGCCCTTTCTTTGCTAAGGGTTTAGTGTAAGTACCCAACCCAGAGAACCTGTGCCCAATAGGCCTCAGCAGGTCATGTCATGTTGCCTGCCTGCCCCCATCCGGGAGGGTGTATACATCTTAAAGCTGTCACTCAGATGACTCCCCCTCCATACTGAGGTGGCCGCCAGCCGGCCAGGGAATTGCTCCGGGTCCAGGACTGCAGGTAACAGCCGAGCGGTCATCAGTCTGTACCTGTGAGGACTTCAGGCTCTTGGCAGTTGGGGGGTAAGGATCCAGCTACCATGGGGGTGAGGGCATGGAAGGAGCTGGGTGGAGGGTCAGGGGCCCTGGTGAGTGGGTCAGGGTAGACTCCAGTCCAGTCTGGCCCTGGTGAGTGGGTCAGTGTAGACTGGACGGGAATCTACACTGACCCTCCTGTCCTTATGACATTCCAGCAACACATTCTGGTCTCTACCTGCAGAGGGGTCTGAGACTGGATGTTCTGCCCAGAGCAGCACGAACACTTAGGGCTTTAAGGATTTCAGGAGAGTAGAGCTTGGGGAAGCCGGACCTGGACGTAACTCTGTATGTTCTAGGCAATAAACTAAGGATGTACTCAATGTGTGTTAGCAGTAGCCTCCACATTCCCAGCATGCTGGCCATTCTGAACTAGAAGTGGCCCCCCGCCCATATGGACTCCAGTCTAATGCAGACATGGCACCTGTGTGTATCTCTGCCCACAGCAGACATTGCTAATCGATCCTGGCATCCCTTTTGCCTGAGGCTGATTCCACCCTTAGGAACCAACCCCACACACCCCAACCCGCATCGGGCCAGCTGTTGCAAGGCCATCAGGGTGACAGGTATTTGCAACTCTCATTCTGAAAGATGTTGGGATTCATGAGAGGTTAAGGGATCATTGAGGCCAAGAGTAGGGGACTGGTGCGGGCTTGGTCATAGCAGCATTGCTGTGATCAATCCGTCAGATTGGTCTGTTTCCATTTCTTCTCAGTTTTAGGGTTTACTTTTTGGTGTTTTTCTTTTTTTAAATTTTGTTCTAATGTATATGTAAGTTGTTCATTTGGTTCCAAAGTTAAACCTATATTAGAAGGATCCTTGGAAGTCTTGCTTCCATCACCTTATATGGGAGTCAGAAGTTACACGTGGACTTTTGACGCCTGGTGGGTCAGTGCCTCGAACTCCTGCATTTTTCAAGGGTCAACTGTACATGTAAATATCGAATTGTTATGCTATACCCCTGAAACTAATATAATGTTCTATGCCAATTACATCTCAGTAAAAAAATGAATAAATTTTTTGAAAAGGGTGCACGTTTCTCTACAGACTCACCAGCAGAGCATGTGCTCAAACTTTTAGATTTTTGCTAATCACATGGTTAAGAAATAGTATCACCGAGTTGTCATAATTTCCTCCATCTTTTTTTTTTAATATTTTTATTTTCTCTACATGGTTTTTCATTTCTCATACAGTTCGCTAACTCTGTGGATACAGAAGGAAACTGACACGCCCTACCTTTCATGAGCCCATAGGCTGATGAGGGAGGCAGACACCCAGACCAATCATTTCCTCTGTGACACGGGGCGAGGGAGCTGTTGGCCCTGGCAGGCTGGATGTCACTGGGTGAGGGAGGAAACAGGGGCTTCTTGAGGGAAGGAGTGGGCAGGGGACCAGGGCAGCAAGCAGCTTCTGTGAGGGCCTAGGGACAGGCTAGTCTAAAGGTGAGCTGAGGCAGGGGTGCCTAGGTGGCTCAGTCATTAAGCGTCTGCCTTCGGCTCAGGTCATGATCCCAGGCTCCTGGGATCGAGCCCCCACATCGGGCTCCCTGCTCCACGGGAAGCCTGCTTCTCCCTCTCCCACTCCCCCTGCTTGTGTTCCCTCTCTCGCAGTGTCTCTCTCTGTCAAATAAATACATAAAATCTTTAAAAAAAAAAAAAAAAAAAAAGCTGAGGCAAGGGCCAGGCTGGGAGAGCCCGAATCCCGGACTCACAGAGCCTTTCTTCTGAGGGCAGCTGGGGCTACAGAGTGGTCTTGTGCAGGAGTGACATGGTCAGATCTGTGCTTTTGGAAGGGACCTCTGGCCACTCTTAGAGGGTAGAGTAGGGGGGTCCAACAGGGAGACTAGCTGACAAGTAAGGACTCGGGGCGATCTCAGTGAGACCCTCTGGGGCAGGGGATCAGACAAGCCCCATTAGGGAGCGAGGGAGCAAGGCTGTGGGACCCCGCAGAGGGCCCACTCTCTCTACACCCCTGCTGAGTCTGTGAGGGGAGATGTCCTTGTGCACAGCAAACCTCATCTTTCCGGAGGTGCTGCCCCTCTCCCTGCTGTTCCCCACAGACCCTCAGTTCAGCCACCGTCCCATGCAGGGCAGCCCCGGGACCCTCAGCACAAAGATCGTGAAAGCGAATGAGAGCTTTTTATAAAAATTAATGTAATTCATCCTTCCTTTATTGGGTACTTTTAGGACTTAGTGTTCACTCTCTCCTTCAACAGGTAATGATTGAGCACCGACTATGTGCCAGGCACTGTTCTAGGTGCTGAGAACAAAACAGGCAAAAAAGCCTTGCCCCCCTGAAGCTCCTCTGTAAGTTACAGAAAGTGTGGGAAACTCAGTGGAGTAAAGAGGAAACAAATTGCCAGCAGGGACAGGCCATCTGCTGTTGCCCTCCTTCATCTGGTGTATTTCTTTGTAGGACTGCTTTATGCTTTTTAAAACAACATAGTTGTGATCACACTACACAGTCAGTGTTGTACCCAGCTCTTTGTAAATAACTGCTTTAGGGACCCGCATCACCTCCTGTGGCGTGGATGGACCACATTTAGTTAACCAGCCCCCCGTTGTGGATTTTAGATTGTTGGCCCATGATTTGCTATAAGTAATAGTGTGATGAATGTCTCCTTGTGCTTGAACTTGTTTCTCTCCTTCTTGTTCTGTCATTAGGTTAGATTCTGGAAGAGAAGTTCTTGGGTTTGAGGGCTCTGGATATCTTCAAGGGTTTTACCCATGATTTTACAGAAGAGGCAAATCAATTTGCCTCCCACCCCCAGCAGTGTATCAGAATGGGCACACAGTTCTTCCCGGAGCACTCATAGGCCTTTGGATCTTGACGACAACCCTGCTGGTGTTGATGAGCAGACCAAATTCCAAAGAGGGGTTGGGGCTTGTCTGACTTCCACGGGGGCAAGCTGGCAGCGGGCCAAGGCCTCCCCTGCACGTGCCTTCCAGAGGAATGCCGACTCTCCTTTTTCCCCCCACAGCCGGTGGATCCCTCCTCTGTTGCCTTGGTGACCCTTGGCTCCTCAAAGGAGATGCTGTTTGAAGGAGGTCCGAAACCCTGGGTCCTCGAGCCTTCCAAGTTCTTCCGGAACATCACCTCCGAGGACACAGACAGCATCAGCCTGGCTCTGTTGGGGCCCTCTACCTCCCGGAATTACCAGCAACATTGGATCCTCGTGACCTGCCAGGCCTTGGGCGAGCAGGTGAAAGGGCTGTCACCCCTAGACCCATCTTGTCCAGAGGGAGGGGTATAAATTCCCGTTCCCTGAGTACCCTGCTGTGTTTACAGCACCGTTTCACAGACAGGCAAGCTGAGGATCAATGAGGTGGCATGACTGAGTGGATAGGCAAGTTGATCGGCGTGCAGCACTTGGGGACCTACAGGACAGCTTTGCTAGGGCTAGCTCCCTTTCCACTGCTGGGGTGACCTCTTCTTTCTCTGGGTTTCATCATTGCCCACCACCAAATTGGGGGATGGGACGAGACTGGGGGAGGGGTCACAGTCAGAGGTCTTCAGGGTCAGGCAGATAGCATTAGCGAGCAAGATTTCAGCCCGGGTTTGGCAGATCTTCTTGGTGTTTCAAGATAAGCCAGGAATCTCAAATTTTTTTTTTTTTATGTGAAATCCCTCAATTTTTGTTTTTTTGCAATGCTGAAAACCAAAGAAATTCGGAGACTGGGTGGACCAAACACAACACGTCTATGACCTGAACTCTCGTGGGGCTAGCATGGGCTGGAGAAAGCAGCAGCTCACCCAGCCGGCCCCCTGTGGCTGCCACTCCAGAGGCTCAGCGCCGAGTGCTCATTTTGCTGATAGTAGGGATCTAACCCCCAATCACAGGGTGCCCCAGAGCCGGGAAACAAAAAGCAAGGTGGGAGGGCAGGGGGGATCAAGAAAGTTAGGAGAGAGCCCATGTCTTTAGGGAAGGGGAGAATGCCCTTGCACGTGCAGTGGGGCAAAGAACGTCAGCTGACGTCAAAACACACACGTGCACATCACCCAAGGTACCCTTGTGAAGTGTGCCACACCCAGACTGCCTTGGTGTGAGCAGGAAGGATGCACAGTGAAAGCCCCTGATTCCTACTGGCTTTGGTTTAAAAAAAAAAAAAAAGTTAATAAGAAAATATTTTTTTAAAAATTAAATAAGAAAAATGAATAAGAGAATAAAGTGTCTTGCCCCTGGCTTGGCTTGGTCATCTGTGTCCCTGCTGGGCCATAAGAGTTGGCCCTCTGAGCAGAGGCGCCTCCGGGCTCCTCCTACTCCATGCCCTGTGCCTCGCTTCCCTGGGGTCATTGCGGTGGAGGCCGAGGGCCTGCAGGTCAGCGTGGAAACCACCCTTTGTCCTGCCTTGTGGTCAGGGAATGTGAGGGGCTCTAAGACCCGACCACTGGGTCCTACAGAAGCGTGAGTCATTTGAGGGGCCCGGGGTGCTTCCTTGGGATGGGTCATTAGCTGGGGTGCTTGCAAAACTCAGGCCTAGGCTTGATTTCTGAGGTCTCAGCTCTAAAAGCAGACTTAAATTTCCCTCTTTTTTTTTAGTTTTATTCATTTATTCATGAGAGTCAGAGGGAGAGAGAGAGGCAGAGGCAGAGGGAGAAGCAGACTCCCTGCCTAGCAGGGAGCCCGATGCGGGACTTGATCCCAGGACCCTGGGATCATGACCTGAGCCAAAGGCAAATGCTTAACCATCTGAGCCACCCAGGCGCCCCTAAATTTCCCTCTTTTGTTGCATCTTTAATTGTGGCCTCTGCAGAAGCCAAGTGAACTTCTCTCAGAGAGGAGGAGGGTGTGCGGGCTGAGGCCCCTGCACATCCGTCTGCCGTGCAGGCCTCTGTCCATCAGCACACACCCTCCCACACCTGCACCTCATTGTAAGGGACCTTCCAAGTCCGTGTGGGCTCCTCATTTGAAAACCCACAGGCTTGGGCGCCTGGGTGGCTCAGTTGGTTAAGCGACTGCCTTCGGCTCAGGTCATGATCCTGGAGTCCGGGATCGAGTCCCACGTCGGGCTCCCTGCTCAGCGGGGAGTCTGCTTCTCTCTCTGACCCTCTTCCCTCTCATGTTCTCTGTCTCTCATTCTCTCTCTCTCAAATAAATAAATAAAATCTTTAAAAAAAAAAAAAGAAAGAAAGAAAACCCACAGGCTTGGGAATTCGCTCCTACAACTATGGGATCCTCGGAGGGTCCCGGGAAGCTGTGAGGCATCACCGCAGTGGTTCAGCCAGCATTTGTAAAGGACACTAGAGCCCCTGTCTGAAGGCCTCTTGCGTGTTGAGAGAGCACTCCCCCCACATAGGTCACTGCACCCTTGTAAGCCCCTGGTGGTGTGGGTCTCAGCTGCCCATTCTACAGAGCAGCAAACTGAGTCCGAGGGAGCTGGGTGATGAGGCCGGGCTCACAGTGGAGCAGGCACTCAGACTCGGACTGCTCCTCTGCTCGGCCAGGTCATTGCCCTCTCGGTGGGGAACAAGCCCAGCGTCACCAACCCCTTCCCTGCGCTGGAGCCTGCCGTGGTGAAGTTCGTCTGCGCCCCGCCATCCAGGCTCACCCTGACCCCCGTCTATGCCAGCCCCCAGCTCGACCTGTCGTGTCCGCTGCTGCAGCAGAACAAGCAGGTGGTAAGTGAGCATTTCTCGGGGAGGGCGAGGGGGCAGCACTGCTCTCTTGCCTCCATGCTCAGCAGCCCCTGTTCAGGGCCTGCTCCTCGTCAGCTTTTACATATCGGGGGGCTGAAGGCCCAGAGAGGCGAGGAGCTCACCTGGAGTCACAGTTGCTTGTGGCAGTGCCAGGTGGAGGTAGGGCGCCTCTGGTCCCAGACTCGGCCCCCTCTCCGTGTGGCACTTGGCAGTTGGTAAAATCTCACTAACTTCTGTGACTTGGGGACCTTGAGGTGGGGCTGTGGCCTGTGGGCAGTGTGTGTGCGGTCAGAGTGGGGGCTGCTAAAGAGAGGTGACCAGCTGCAGCATCCTCCATGAGTGAGGGGAACGTAGAGGGGCTGTGTTTCAAACGTAAACGTGGGAGGGGGAAGAAAATCACTTGGGGGTTGCTCTGACAAGCAGGGATAGAAGGTGAACCCCACAGGTCTGGTCCCCTTGGGCTTGCGGCTGGTCTAGCCCCCCAGCCAGGACCCTCAGAGGCCAGACGACAGATGTAGAGGACTTTGAAGCCCTCCTGTTCAGGGTCAGGGATACCAACACCCTCCCAGCCAGCCCAGCCCCCGGTCCCGTCTCAGAGGTGGAGACTGAGCAGGCTGCTTTTCCCTCATTCCTTCAACATGTATTTGTCCAGCACCTTCTGTGTGCTGGGCACAGAGCTCTGGGTTCGAGAATGCAGAGTACTCAGGACAGGTGAGTCACCTGGAGGGGACAGGAGACCAGGAGGCCCACAGATAGTTGACAAGAAGGGCAGAAGGTGGGAAGGGCTGTGGAGTGAGGGAGGGAGTACAGGGTACCTACCAGTGGAGGCCGCTTCAGACGGAGCCGTGAAAGGCCTCTGTCAGGCGGACGCCCACCGTGTCAGGCCCCGTGGTCACCGCTAAAAAGAGCTACAGTACAGGTGTCCCGAGCATGTAGAATGGCAGGTGCAAAGGCCCTGAGGTTAGCCTAGGGTCTCTGCGTGCCTGCTGCCCACACGGTAATCAGAATGGTTGTATGTGCCAGGAGCTCTCACCTGTATGCCTCATTCTCCATCACCCGGACCATCTGGGAGGCCAGGCTTGTTGCATCCCCTTCATGGTTTGCTCACGACGCCTGGAGGTAGGCAGGATCCTGGAGGCAGAACCTAGATCTGCCCAGCTCCAAGTTTTCAGTGCCCCCTTTGTGGCCCCTGCGGCTGCTTCTCTCCTCCCAGCCCCGGCCTTATGAGCAGCCCCAAGGCGTGTCCCACTGCTCTCTGCCCTGCTGGCTTCTGAGGGGCCCTGTGTCTCCTGGAGCCACCTCTAGGGATAGGACACTCTTAGCTCTTTGTTCTTTGCCCTGAGAGGACTCAGCGCCCATAACGGAAGCTTTCTGAAGCTGTTTATGTGGGCAGCCTCTCCCACTGGAGCAGAGAGATTTGGAGTTTGGCTCCCCTGTGGGTGAAGGAGAACAGCTTTGTGTCTGGTCAAAGGACATTTCTTTGAAGCTCTGTGGGGCGTCCTAGACTCCAGTGTCTAGGACTTGGAACAGTTCTGCCTGGCTGGCGTGAGACTCTCTGCCTCTCGGCCTCTACGTCCCCTGCAAGTTTAGTTAACTTGTCTTCCTCCTGTCCTGGTGGGCTTCTGCCTTCTCCCAGGCTTTCCTGATCGCTCAGCTCTGAGGTACATGGCCGTGGGAGCCCCTCTCTGCCACCAGTGCTCATCCCTTTAAGGGTCACTGCCTCGACAGCATCCAGCACAAAGTGGGGATTCTTTGTACCCAACCTCGGCGCACTCTCCTAACTACCCCACCCACGGCGGCCAAGGTGTACCCACCTGTGAGGAGAACCGGCTCTGAGCCTAGAGCTGCTCTGGAGGCTTGTCAGCATGAAGCCGCATTCACCCCTAGCTGCGGCCTGGGTGTTGGTGGCAGGGAGCAGATGGCTGTCATTCCCAAGCTGAAAATCTGTGTGTTCAGGACTTAATTCTTCTCCCTGGTTTTGGGGGCTCTTGAGATGAAAGTCCTGAAAGCTACACATTTTAAACCACTTTCATGTATTTGGCACATTATCCCTAAAGAATATAGTCATGCTATGTCTGGACTCTTCTGGAAAACCTGGCCTCTCGGTCCACCAGGTGTGACGCCAGGAGTCAGGCAGCAGCTAACATCAGTAGGGACTGATGGCTGGCTCTGAATTCCTCCTTGAATGACCTGGGTGACAGCAGTCTCCTAGGATTATAGGGGACAGACATGAGTGGACCGAAGGTGTTCAGAATGGTAAATGTTACACTTCTTAACTTATTCTCTGCTTAGACCTGGCCAGCAGCTTCTCATTCCCCCAGAGCAAAAGCCAGTCCCTTTCTGTGACCTGCAGCCCCAGAGTCCTGGGCCCAGTTAATCTCCCCCTGCCTGCTCCACCCGTGCTGGGACGCCCCGTCACGCTGTGAGCAGCCCGGAAAGTGCCCTGGGTGCGTCCCCAACTTGCTCTTCCCTCCGGCTTGACTTCTCTCCTCCCCAGTGCCCCCAGGCCTCCCCTTCCCTGCCTCCTTCACCTCTTGAGGGTACTTTATTCAAATGTTACCCCTTGGAAGGGTGTCCTCAGGCTTTAGACCTTACTGAAAGTTTTTCCCTTCCCTCAACATCTCATATTCTGGTTCCCTTCTCCCCCTGCCCCTGAGCTGTTAACACCATCCAATGCGGCAGAATTTACGTGTTTATTTCCTTCTTTGTGAGGCTCCAGCAGAGAGCCCTGCTCATGGTAGGTAGTGAGGCGATGGACAAGCGAGGGCGCAGGGTGCTCTTTCCTGTGCCTTCTGCCCCTGACTTTTTTTTTTTTTTAAGATTTTATCATTTATTTTGGCAGAAAGGAGAGAGAAAGTGTGTGTGAGCGCATAAGCAGGGGGGAGTGGGAGAGGGAGAGGCAGGCTCCCATGCTGAGCAGGGAGCCCGATGCGGGGCTCGATCCCAAGAACCCGGGATCATGACCTGAGCCGAAGGCAGACGCTTCACGACGGAGCCACCCAGGCGCCCCTCCGCCCCTGACTCTTGAAGGCCCAAATGCCCGGAGAAGCCAAGTGGGGTGCTGCTGAAGGAAGTAGGGGCTGGCAGTAGGGGAACCAGGGGCTACTGACCTGGAGAGTAGGTGACCCTCCGCAACACAGCCTGCCCCTCTCAGCTCCAGCCCCTTCAAGCCCAGGCTGGCCAAACCTTTTCATTTTCAAAGAAAAAAAACCAGGCAGATCGATGGGCGTCTTCCTTGTCTTCACACGCCGGGCACTTGCCAAGTGAGCTGTATCTGACCGTCTGTTGGCTGTGACCTCTGGGTCAGCACAGGTTGTCTCTCTGGACTGAAAGATGACAGGCAGCGGAGCACAGCTCTGAATGGACTTGTGTGTGTCGTAGATCTCGCTCGCCAGGAAATAATGGACCTCAGACAGAATCGCTGGGCCATCCATCAGGCCTGGAGTTGCGGAGCTGTGAACCACTCGGGCATGGCCCCTGCGATTTATGATCTCACTAGGGGACCTTGATAAAGATATATCCCTGCCATGCATCCTGGGTGTAGTATCAATTTAATTTTATACCTCTCCAAAGCCAGAGGCCACCCAAAATGTATTTGCAGAGTAAATTATGGGTGAGGCCAGACACCAGCACGGAGCTGACCGGTCAGAGTGACAAAGTGGAACCCGACTCCAGCCTGACCCCAGTCCTCGGCTCGGGTTGTCCTGTGTTCAGCTCACTGCGGCTGAGCACCAGTTGCGTGCCAGGAGACTGATTAGCCAGGGCTTGCCTGGAGCCCCCGCCCGACTGGTGCACCGGGGAGAAGCCACACAGTCAGGGGAGGCTGCACACTCACAGAGGAGGGCCTGTAGGCTCTAAAATTAGACTGGCAGAGTTCCCAAAACCTGTGTGACCTTGGGCAAGCTGCTGAATGTCTCTGGGCCTCAGCCTTCCTGTTTGTAAAATGGGGATAATATCGTTGCCCCAAAGACCTGTTGGAAAGATCCAAGCATGCTTGGCACAGGGTGTTAATGTCATTCCCTGGGAGCACAGGGGGTAGGAAGGGCATTAGTTTTCCACCCAGGTTGCTTCTAGAGGAAAGAGCGGGGCATCTAGAAAATGCCACTTCTTGTCCCTGCCCAGAGTCAACAGCTCCTGGCTGGAATCCAGAATTGTTAAAAAAAATCCTTTGCATCCCCAGGGGATTATGCTGACCTGAGTTTAAAATATGCAGCATGCTTTGGTTCAGTGTTTGGGGGCAAGAGAGCTAGAAGGAGCTGGGGAAGAGCCCTCCTGGCGCCCGTCAGGAGTTTGGGGACAGCCTCAGTCTGGATAGGTGAGGCTAGGCTGCAGTAACAAGCACCCCCAGATCCCAGTGCCTTCCCACAGCACAGTTCACTTCTCCCTCTTGCCACATGTGCATCGCGGTGGTGGGGGACCAGGCTTCGTGTCACTGTTCTCTTCCTTCTGAGACACAGTTGGTGGGACAGCCACCGTGTGGAACATGGCCAGAGAGAAGGAGAGCCTGGCAGATCGCTTTGCCCTGGAGGCATTTTAAGTCAGTTTCCCCTTCCACTGGTCAAAGTGAGTGACACGGTCACTCCTAACTGCAGGGGCCTGAGAAGTAGAGCCCTGGTTTCTGGACCCATGCCTGGCAGAGAACCGGACACACTGGTGACCACTGCAAGTGACTGCCCATTTCCCGACTTGCACGTTTGTTTTAGTGAGCCGGGCTCTTTAAAATGATCTCATACAACCCTTACTTAAAATGGAGTCCTGCGGGGCGCCTGGGTGGCTCAGTCGTTAAGCGTCTGCCTTCGGCTCAGGTCATGATCCCAGGGTCCTGGGATCGAGCCCCGCATCGGGCTCCCTGCTCCGCGGGGAGCCTACTTCTCCCTCTCCCACTCCCGCTGCTTGTGTCCCCTCTCTCGCTGTCTCTCTCTCTGTCAAATAGATAAATAAAATCTTAAAAAAATAAATAAATAAAATAAAATGGAGTCCTGGGAGGTGGGTTCTGTTATGATGCCCCCTTCACAGATGGAGGAACTAAGGCTCTGGAAGGTGGGCAGCTTGCCTGTGTGGTGAGAGGTCGAGGTTTGAGTCCAGGCAGTGGAACTCGGATGTCTATGTGCTTAGGGTCCCTGCTTCTCTCCCTGACCCGCCTGCCCCCTTGCCAACCGGGCAGGGAGCGGAGGGGATGAACCAGCATCTGGGAGGAATGAGGCCAGCTTGGCGTGGGTTCTGAGGATTTGCTTGGGGAGCAAGAGGTAGTGGTAGAGTGGTTGTAATTCAGGGTTTGGAACTGAACCCTGAAGGTGTACCATTCATTTGCCGAGTCGCCTTTGATTTGTTCCTTTCCTTCCCTGGGACTCTGCTTCCTCACCCTTAATATGGGGATGACTCCTCCCATCTCCCTGGGATATTTAAGGATCGGGTGAGAACTTGGCTCCAAGAGGAGCTTTGCAAGCTGAATGACTCTGGGACATTTTAGAGGTTGTAATTGGTGTTCCTGTTAAACCCTTGGGGGCAGGGGTCATGCTGGAGGAGCTGGGCGTGTATGGGCCAGGGAGGAGGTGGCAAGGATTTGGGCAGGTAAGGCCAGAGAGGAAGCAGAGCAGCCTGGCTAAGGTGGTGGTGGGAGGGGGTGGGCTCTAGGGCAGGGTCTCCTGACCTTGGCGCTCCTGACATTTTGGACCAGATCCTTACTTCTTGAGGGTTGTTCTGCGCATTGTGGGGTGTTAGGTGGCATCCCTGACTTCTACCCACTAGATGTCCATTGCAACCCTTCCCCCCCCCGCCCCACAGTTGTGATCATCAAAAAGGCTTTCAGACATCTCCAGGATCATGCTTCGGGGAGCAAACTTTTCCCCCCTTGAGGACCACGGGCTGGAGTAATAGGCCAGGTTGGAAAGGGCTACGAGGCATCTCGACGGCTGGGCAGCATAGTTAGTGACTTGGCCCACCTCATCACCAGGCCCCGGGAGCCCTGAAGGCAGCCAGCCAGGTCCAGGGTGCCCCGCGCGGTCAGGAGCAGCTGTGCCTGGTTCTGGGCTTGGCCAGGATGTGGGACTTTTACCTCTTGCAGGTTCCGGTCTCCAGCCACCGCAACCCCCTGCTGGACCTGGCTGCCTACGACCAGCAGGGCCGCAGATTCGACAATTTCAGCTCTCTGAGCATCCAGTGGGAGTCGACCAGGCCCTCGCTGGCCAGCATCAAGCTTGAGCTGCCCATGCAGCTAGTGGCCCAGGGCGATGGGAGCGGCCAGCGGAAGCTGCACGGTGAGCTGTGTGGGGAGCCTGATGACCCAGACCAGGAGTACAGAGTGTAGTGAGACCCCAGGCGGACGGAGGGGTGCTGAGGAGGGCTGGTGGCAACTGTGGACCCCACTGGATCCCTCTTTCAGGGCTGGGTGGACAGGCTTGGGCTCAGGGCAGGGGAGTGTCACGTCCCAGCTTGCGCAGATCAACCAGCTTCCGAGACCCACGTGACTCTGAGCCATGCGCCTTCCCAGACCCGTGGGCAGCCAGAAGTTGCAGCCAGCGCAGCTCCCGGAAGCCGCACCGTGGCACTTTGCTCAGGGTCTGGTAACTCTTATGGTGCATACATTTGAAACAAACTCGCTTATGTATTTTTAGGACCAGAGATTTAAAACTGCAAGTCAGAAGGAGGGAGGGGCTGCTTCACAGGCAGCAAGGGGGCAAAAACCCGACATCTGTTCTCCTCTCCCTGGACTCAGGTTTGCAGGCCATCTCGGTTCACGAGGCATCAGGGACCACAGCCATCTCCGCCACCGCCACGGGCTACCAGCAGTCCCACCTCAGCACGGCCAGAGTGGAGCAGTCGGTATCTCCCTGGGCCCCGGGCAGGGTGTGCCCTCTGCTCCTGCTCACGTCCGGCCCACTGTCGCACGTCCCGAGCCCCCGAGCCCCTCCCATTCACCAACCCATCCGCAGTCGAGTGCCATGGGCTTACGTGAACTGGGGCGCCTTCCCACTGGCCTCCTGCCTCCAGCACCCCCATCCCCCACGCCTGGCACTCAGGCAGCTGGTGGGATCCAACTTAAAGGCGGTCAGTCTGACCCTGGCACCTCGTGGCCCCGGCACACAGCTTTGGGAGCCCTCGTGCTCATCTGTCCTGCCTCTTCTCCCACACAGCCCTGACCTCACACCCCACCCAAGGATGTGCCTCAGTGGCTCGGGCCTCCGTGACTTGGCACCCTGAGTCCCCACTGCCTGGAAGGCCATCCCCCTCCTTCCCTTCACTCCTCCCCACCTGGTGGCCTCCCGCTCGTTAGTCCCAGCCACAATGTCAGCCTGTCTGCAGAGTGGTCGCTGAGCCTGGGCACCGAGTACCTGCCCCCCCACCATGGTATAGATGCCCCCCACATACACTGTTGCCACCATCTGCATACACTTGGGTCGAGGCCTGTTGAATCTTATCTCCCTACCCTAGCATCTCATGGCCCCCCCGCAGAAGCACTGCTTGTGGGTGGCAAGTGGGTACATATGGGGGGGGCATGAGAAGGGCTCCCCAAGAGTGGTCTTGCCTGGATGATCCCCCCCCACGGTGAGGGAGTGGCAGCAGTCAACTTGGGTTTTGTATAGGACGAAGGCAAGAGATGGTGGCTGGAAGGAGAAGGTGGGACTGGGTTCCAGGAGACCCTAAGTGCCAGGATAAGGAGCTTGAAGTTGTCTCCTGGGTAGTGGGGAGCAAGGGAAGCATTTGGAGGCGGTGGGACCCCAGTGGGAGCAGCACTGAAGCTGGCCTGGGGGGAGGTGGCCCTCAAGGAGCATACCTGTATGCCCCTGGTGGCTCAAGCCCTGGGTCATCTGTCCCTACCTGCACAGGGAGTCCCTTGGCTGTGGGTGGCCTCATGGGCCCCCCCCTTCAGGGCCTCGGCACCTAGGCTCTTTGGCCTGTGGGCTTTTCTCTAGTGATACCACCCACACCTTCACTTCCTTGGTGTCTGCTCACCTGAGAGTCCCCCCCCATCCCTAACCTGCCCCTCACTGTCTTCACAACCCCCCCTAAGCTCTGACACAAGTCCTTCATTTACTTTCCCTTCTAATCCTGACCTCCAATAAATTTGCATCATTGCCAAGGGCGGTTATGGGACCCCCGGGGCTAGCACAGTGCTGGGCACAGGGGAGGTGCTCAAGCACGTGCGTACACGGCAGGTCCTTGCTGGGGTGGGTCCGGCAGTCTCCCTTAAGGTACATGTAGCAGCATCACATACTTGGATACGTGCACCACCCATGGGGGCAGGGGCCATGCTTGTTCCCTTGGGAGCCCACCGTGAGGACGCCCCTCCACTCAGCACCTTTGCCGCTTGCCCAAGCCCCGGCCCCTCACACACGGCTCCGCAGCTGGTCATCTGCTGTGTGCCCCTGCCTTCCTGGGGGGTGGTGAACCGCCTGCTTCACAGGGCCTGGCAGGTGGGGTGGGGCCTTGGCAGAATTACCAGATGTCTCAAAGGGATGTGGCCTCTTGGCTGGGCTTGGAGCATGATGGTTTTCCCGGGGCCGTGTCCCCAGCATAACAAGTACTCTGGAGTGACGCCAGGGCCCGGGGTTTCTAGTGCTGCCCTTTCAGGGCTGAAGCCCGTGGGCTGGCCCAGGGTTGGCCCATTGCCTTGAATCTGATGGCACTGCCTTTGCCCCTACAGTACGACCCTCTTATGCCCGTGTCGGCCTCCATAGAACTCATCCTGGTGGAGGACGTGAGGGTGAGCCCGGAGGAGGTGACCATCTACAACCACCCCAGTGTTCAGGTACAGATTCCTTTCCCTGCCACCATGCTACCTGGCCGTGGCCCACGGGGGCCCCCTCGCCTCTGACATCCGGGCTGACCCCTCCTTGCAGACCGAGTTGCACATCAGAGAAGGCTCTGGCTACTTCTTCCTCAACACCAGCACCGCAGACATCATCAAGGTGGTCTACCAGGAGGCCAGGGGCGTGGCCGTGGTGAGTGCGGGCCCTGTCCCCATGCTCCTTGCAATTCCTCATCTGGGTGGCCTTAGGTTTAACAGAGTGGTTATTTCCAAAGTAAGCACTTGATCACATCGGATGCAATTAGCAAGGTCTTTAGAGTCTGCGATTCATCATTTGTGAAACTTTCATCACTTGTGAGCTACCTTTGTGACTTTCGTTCCACGTCCACAAACTACCCACACTGTTAGTTATTAACTAGTGGTTTTATGTCTGTCAATCTTTTAATTAAAACATGATTATATAAGCACTATAACAATGATAAGGAAGATTGCTTTTGAAAGGTATATCGGCTTTTTCTGTTCTTCCATATTCCTTTCTTGACCCTCTCCCTATTCTGGCAAATACTGACTCAGCTGTGCCCACAGTATGGAAGGATTTAGCATTCTGCGTTTGTGAGGGGTTGCACCCGAAGTTTTTTCCCCCATGTTGCTATGTAGGCTGGCTGATTTTTTAAAAATATTTTTTTAAAGATTTATTTATGTATTTTAGAGAGAGAGAGAGCAGAGGGGAGGGGCAGAGGAAGAGGGAGAGAGAATCCCAAGCAGACTCCGTGCTGAGCCTGGACCCTGATGCAGGGCTCGATCCCACGACCCCGAGATCATGACCTGAACCAAAAACAAAAGTCAGACGCCTAACTGAATGTGCCACTGAGGTGCCCCTAGGCTGGCTGATTATTTTTATGTAGTCATTTGTACTTAGCCATTCTCTCTTTATAGAACATTGAGTTGTTTAAATCTTTTTGTTTTTTAAAAATAGCCCCATAGTTACAGCAAAGAGTAAAACCTAACAAACACCGGTATCCTAAACGGCTGCATATCTGCACAATGAGTTATTTTGCAATCATGCAAACTGAACTTTCTTCAAAATAAACTATGGAATGTGTTGGACCACTACTGTAAGTCATAAATGCAGGCAGCCACGAACTAAGACATGACTCCCAAGTGGCATCATTAAATTGCAGCTCTGCAGTTGCCTTTAGACTGCTCCAGAAGTCCATTGCTCTGGTTTGTGACTCACTGACTGTCTTGACACAGGGAGTCACAAAATTATTTGCCTCTGGAGTGGGACAGTGTAAAGTACACGAGGGACACAAGCAGGGTTCCCAGGGATGAGGAACATACCAGGAAGGCACCCGATGCTTTTAGTGTCAGAGAGTAATAGGGAGTGGTGGGGACTGTGGCAAAGTGGAAAGCAGAGACTGTGTCTAACAGACAGCCACTGTGTGCCGCTAGCTGCCATTTATTTTTATTTTTTAAATTTTTATTGTTTTTTAAAAGATTTTATTTATTTATTTATTTGAGAGAGAGAGCACACGTGCAAATGCAAGAGCTGGGGGAGGGGCAGGAGGAGAGGGAGAGAATCTCAAGCAGACTCTACACTGAGCACGGAGCCCAACACAGGGTTTGGTCCCATGACCCCAAGGTCATGACCGGAGCCAAAACCAAGAGTCAGATGCTTAACCAACTAAGCCACGCAGGCACCCTGCCTTTTGGGGTTTTTTTTGTTTGTTTTTAAAGATTTTATTTATTTGAGAGAGAGAGAGCATGAGCAGGGGGAGGGGTAGAGGGAGAAGCAAACTCCCCACCTAGCAGGGAGCCCAGTGTGGGGCTCCATCCCAGGACCCCAAGATCATGATCTGAGCCAGAGGCAGATGCTTAACTGACTGAACCACCCAGGTGCCCCACCTTTTGTATTTTTTTAATCAACATATAATGTATTATTTGTTTCAGGGGTACAGGTCTGTGAGTCATCAGTCTTACACAATTCACAGTGCTCACCATGGCACATACCCTCCCCAATGTCCATCACCCAGCCACCCCATCCCTCCCGCCCCCCTCCACTCCAGCAACCCTCAGTTTGTTTCCTGAGATTAAGAGTCTCTTACGGTTTGTCTCCCTCTCTGGTTTCGTCTTGCTTCATTTTTCTCTCTTCCCCTATGATCCTCTGTCTTGTTTCTCAAATTCCACATATCAGTGAGATCATATGATACTTACTTGTCTTTGTCTGATTGACTTATTTCGCTTAACATAATACCCTCTAGTTGCATCCATGTTGTTGCAAATGGCAAGATTTCATTTTTGATGGGTGCATAATATGTATATATATACACACCATATCTTCTTTATCCATTCATCTGTCGTTGGACATCTGGACCCTTTCCATAGTTTGGCTATTGTGGACATTGCTGCTATAGTGCACGTGCCCCTTTGGATCACTATATTTGTATCTTTGGGGTAAAAACCCAGTAGTGCAATTGCTGGGTCATTTTTAACTTTCTGAGGAACCTCCATACTGTTTTCCAGAGTGGCTGCACCAGCTTGTATTCCCACCAACAGTGCAGGAAGGGTCCCCTTTCTCCGCATCCTTGCCAACACCTTTCGTGTCCTGACTTGTTAATTTTAGCCATTCTGACTGGTGTGAGGTGGTATCTCATTGAGGTTTTGATTTGGATTTCCCTGCCTTTTGTTATTTTTAATACCAGCTTTATTGCGGTATAATTCACATACTGTACAATTCGCCTATTTTAAGTGTACAAGTCAGTGGTGGTTAGTTGACTCATAGACAGGTGCATCCAGGACATTTTCATCACCTCAAAAAGAAACCCATACCCTCTAGCTATCTCCTCCCTGTTCTTACACCCAGACACAAAAGAGTACCCGATTTTGTCAAATGCTTTTTCTATGTCTCTTGAAATGATGTTGTGGTTTTTGTTTTTTATTCTGTTGATACGATGTATTGCATTAATTGCCTTTTCAGATGTTAAACCAACCTTGCATTTCTGGGGCAAATGCTACTTGATCATGATATATAATTCTTTTTACATGTAACTAGAATATGTTTGCTAGTATTTTGTTGAGTTTATGTTCATAGTCCTAAGAGACACTTGTCTGTGCTTTTCTCTCCTGTGATTTCTTCATCTGGTTTGGGTATCAGGGTAACATCAGCCTCACGGAATGACTTAGCAGTGTTCCTTCTTATTTTTGGAAGAGTTTGAGCAGAATTGGTAATAAGTACTCTTAAATATTGGGTAGAATTAACCAGTGAAGCCATCGGAACATGATCTGCTCTTCTGGGCGGTTTTTTGATTACTAATTCAGTCTCTTCGTATGTTACAGGTCTACTCACACTGTTTCTTTTTGAGTCCATTTTGGTAGCTTGGGTCTTTATAGGACAATTCAGGTTTTTTGCTTTTTGGTTATTTGTTTTCACATTTTTTTACATCCCTTGTCAGTGATTGACCTTGGTCTTTACCTGTCTGTGGAGAGGCTTTCTCCTGGTTCAGTCCCTTGGTGAAGGGTGAGAAAGCGTGTTATAATACTCCTGTTCTTCCCAGGGGCAGTCTCAACTGGCAGAACCCCTTAGGTGTGTTGCCATAAATCAGAGCAAGAAACCACTGTCTCTTAGCACCTGGGAACAAGTCTGTGTTGTTAGAGACAGCATGAGGGTTGCTAGAAGTCTGAGATCATAGGAAGCTGTCCCCAGAGCATTTTTGTTCCCTTTATAAAAGAAAGAATAATTCCCTGGCCATCCCTCCTGCCATGTAAATGAGTGTTCACTGTCACATTCTTCATATTAAAAGGAAAAGCTCAAATCATAAATAATTCTGACTACTTGAGACATGCCTTGCTTTGCTTTACTTCTGGGGATTAAAAAAGAACTCCCCTGTTATTAACAGGGCGCCTGCATGGCTCAGTCAGTTAAGCGTCTGCCTTATGGCTCGGGGCGCGATCCCAGGCTCCTGGGATCGAGCCCCATGTCAGGCTCCCTGCTCAGCGGAGAGACTGCTTCTCCCTCTCCCTCTGCCCCTCCCTGCCGCTGGTGCTCTCTCTCTCATGCTCTCTCTCTTTCTCTCTCACATAAATGAATAAAATCTTTAAAAAAAAAAAAAAACAACTCCTGGTTGTCAAGAAGAGAGAAGCTTCAAGTTCAGAAAAATGTGTACAGTGCCAACAATACTTGGGGACCCCTTTACTCACATTTACCTCGCCCTTACATTTTGAGTAAGCCTGGAGAATGGGCCTGCAGCCAGAGAGAGAACTCTCCTCCAAGAACAAGAGCTTCTAAGAACCCGTGTTGGACTGGGCTGCTTCTATAGATAGTGACTGCCCCGTCTCTGGAGGCAGCCAAATAGGAGCTGGGACACTTGTCTGGAAGATTCGGGATTTCAACATCAGGGTCAAGTTTCCCCAGACCTTGAGCCCCTGTTCAGTCCCACAATGCTGCAGTTCTAGGTTTATCTCTGTGCCATCCCCGTCAGCAGCAGATGGTAGGCTTCTCCAGTCAAGACAAGTATTTGTGTCCCCATTCTACAGATGGTCCCAGCGAGAGCCAGAGCAGTTCTGTGGTTGTGGGCTGGCCCTTGCTCATGTATCTCATCCCACCATGGCTCTTGTGGAGTGGGACAGAGCGCCCAGGGCAGGCACGACCCCCAGGACAAGCCAAGCACTATGGGAAGCACCAGCAGCCTCCCATGGGGCAGACCCCACAAGGTGTGTTTAGGAGGCTCCTTGACCCCTGGGGTCTCTGCCTCCCATCGGCTTGGGCCTGTGCAGAGACCATTGCACCTCGAGGTGGAGATTGGGTTCTGGTTCCCTCTGCCTCTTCTGTAACCTGCCGGAGGAATTTTTCATGGAGCATTGACAATTGGTGACAGATCCTAGCAGCTTCTCTCAGACAATTGTTTCTGAAGGACGTTTACACATTTCTTTGGCATTTTCCTGCTGCTAATTAGCAACATTCTCATTTCCCTTAATCACAGAGATGAGAAAGCCCACAGCGGTTCTTCAATTAGCTCATAGAAAATGTTTCTTTCTTTCCTATTGATACACATTCGGGATGCAAGAATGGCTCCTGGGTGTGTTTCGGCTTCTGAGCGTCTCTGGAAGGTAGCTGTGGTACTCACACGCCAGGGCCATTGTGGGGCTAGTCTGCCCACACAATGCATGAAGGGCTGTGCTGATTTCTGCTCACACACACCCCAAAACTCTGCGAGGGGCCTTTATTTCATTTTTGGCTGGCTTGCCTGTAGGAGTGCTTATCCGATTTAAACTTAGAGTTTCTTTCTTCTCACCCATTCTTTCCATTTCAAATCAAGTCCTGCACGCAGAACCCATGTGACTAGAAAGGCAAGGGGAACGACCCACTGTGTGCCAAGCACCTCGTACCTTTAAGTTATGCATTCATTCTGCAAAGACTGGTGCCGGCCCAGGCACTGGGAGTCAGTAGTGAACAAATCACAAGCCACAGTGTTTCTCTCCATTTCCTCCCTCCTGTGATGCATCGCCAGGCATGGAGACATTGTATATTTGACAAGTCCATCAGGAAGGAAAAGGATGGGGAGGGTAGCAGGTGGCAGCCACAGGCTTTGAACTCGGGTGTGTCCTGCTTTTCCCCAGAGGTACCTGTCCCAGTCCTGGTCTGGCAGGAAGCCTCAAGGCTGGCTGGGGTCCCTGGATGGATTTTCATCCAGCCTCCAAGCCAGGGCTCTTCCCCATGCCTGTGATTTCCCTGTGTTCGTGGTCACCCCCTGCAGGTCTCAAGGACGTCTCATTGGGGCCATGGACCCCAACACTTGCGTGGCATGGCCTGACGCCCCCCCCCCCGCCAATTGACAGGCACTCTATAATAGGAAATGGGAACTGAAGGCTCCTGTGACGTCTGGAAGTATTTATAGGGTCCTTACTCTTCTATAAATGCCACCTGTCAAGGAACAAGCCTGAAGCATGTGGGGGCCCAGGGAAGCTCAGAGCCGAGCCGGTGCAGGCAGAAGCTGGGGGCCTGGCAGGTGCGAGTGGACATCACGGTGTCAGCCTGCTCACAAGCAGAGCCATCTCCGGCTCCACCGCCAGGGTCTTAATGAGCAGTAATGCATTCATCATCCCCGAAGAGATGACAGGACTTTCCTCTCGGCTCAGTATGCACTGAAGTTCTCACTTCTCACTGAAGTTCAGCACTTAGAAATTAGAACTCGCTCTGGGCCTGGAGTGTCCCCTCCTGCTCTCCTTCATACATGTTCCCCCCCGAATGTCAGTCAAGAAGCAAGTGGGTCCAAAATGCCACGAGAAGCAGACAGGCACAGTCCAGATTTGGCAGTGAGGCCAGTCCCTGCTCGGCCGCCAACGGCCTGGCAAATGCCCCCCTTCTCCAAGAGCGTTTTTTCTCCCAGGTGGCCCAGTGCGCTCTCCCTTGAAGTGTCGCTCAGCAGGGGTGAGGTGAGCCGCTGCATGCCGACAGGGGGGCAGGCCGGGACATGCAGCCTCTCCGCGGATGGCAGATTGATGCCCGTCCCCCACTTCTGTCATCCGGAAGGCAGCCGGACGTCCAGCCTCTGGGAAATCAAGTGGAAGACAGAATTGATTTCCCCTCGCCATTTTATGTCTTTGTTTAAAATGTGCAAAATGGTCCTTTTGAAGGGGAGGAAAAAAAGAACAAGAAAAAGTGCTCTGTGCATTCCTCTGCGTGGTTCTATCAGCCGCCAGGGCAACATGTAATTTCTTGGTGCCGTGAAGGACGCACTGGCCCCTGACAGCAGGAGGAATAGATTGGAGCCTCGAATTCAGTTTTCAAAGAAAGCTCTCATTTCTCTCTCGAATTTTTAAATGCGTTTTCATTGAGGGAAAAGGAATAAGCCAGGGTGAATCATCCTCGGCAAAACTGGAGGCCTGGTGCTTCCCAGACCCCACTCCTCGGCCCGTATTTCATACCAGACCTGGGTGGCAATGGCTCAAATTGCCAAGGCATCGCTTTGGAATACAACCATGATTTCCGCTCTGGGGTCTTTGTTAATCGACTTTTAAGTCATCGTGTGGAATAACTCGGGCATGCCTCATCTGTGTTGATGTGCCCTTGAGCTCAATGATACTGGCAGAGTTTCCAGCTTGGCTGAGCTTGCTAATCCTCCATGCCCCCAGCTAACTGTGGGTTTGGGCCTCTGCCTCAGCTCTGGCCTTTTCCTGCCCTGCCCACGGTTCCGTTTTGGTTGCTGGGGGCATCCTGCTCTGGCAAGTGGCAAAATGTGGTAGAAGGAGCCCTGAACTGAGAGCTCGGGCACCTGAGTTTCCTCCCCAGTGCTGCCCCTTCAAGGCTGGCTTCCCAACCTGTGTGGGCCTCAGTTTCCCCACGTGTGCATTGAAGGAGTTGGACCACAGTCAGCATCTCCCAAAGAGATGAGGGTGTGTGGGTTTGCAGACTTTTTTATTTTTCCTAGAATTTCTAGGTCTTTGCAAAACTAAAATGAAAGGTAAGCAAGCAAGCTGGAGTAGCAGGTTTCTTTGCCGTAACTATAGTGACCTAGAGCTGTGACCCTGGATCTTGGTCTGATCAATACATGTTTACTGGGGGGTGAGCCTGTGCCAGACACTAGGCCCAGCCCTGAGGCTACAGCTGATGAGAAGACAGCCTGGGGGAGGATGGACACTAGACTGTGGTCTCTGTCACAGCCCAATTACAAGCAGTAAAGCTGCACTAGGAGAAGTGAGCAGAGATAGTGGGAAGCCTTAGGTATCTAACTGGGGAAGACTTTCCTAGGAAGGATGCTTGAGCAGAGGCCTGAAGAATGAGCAGGAGCCAGCAGGTGAAGATGGGGTGTGGGGAGAAAAAAAACCCAGATTGTTAAGATGGGCTGTGTGGCCCTGAGGCAGGCAGGCCCTAGCTGGCTTTGAGGAACAGAGCAGAACGGTGGCTGGAGCCTGACAGTGGTGAGGGAGCATAGTTTGCAGTGACATTAGAGCCATGGGCAAGGGCCAGCTCATGCCAGGTTCTTCTAGGACGTGGGAAGGATTTGGACTCAGTCTCTGGGCCACCTTTGAAGGATGTTAACCTGGATATGATGTGATCACATTTGGCTGTCTCCTTAGGGTCAGAAACCTGCTTTTTCCCCTGACAGGTTCTTGATATTGACATTCTAGCCTCGTAAACACTGAATCACTGTAAACCTCCCCTCCATGCCCCCTGCCAAATGACTCTTAACACCAGAAACTGCAGCCAGCAAAGCCAGGGCCAGACAGAGATGGGAAGCAGCCCTCTGGACTCAGCCACCAGCTCCATGGTTTGCCCCCCACCTGCTCAGCCCCCAGACCATCCAGTTGAGATACATGCCTAAGCAATAGAACACATCACGGCAAGTGCGTGTGCAGTATGAGACAGTGATTGTGGTGCGGTTCATCTGGGGAGAGATGCTTCTGTATGTGGGATCCCTAAAGCAGATAGGGAAAGAAGTAGGTTTAAAATGAGGGAGGTGGGGAGTCTTTGCAGCAAAGACTGGAACAGGTTTGTCCACCTACTCAGAATGTTCACGAGGTCGTCTCTACTTCAGACACGACCGAGGCAGAGATGAATGTCGGGATGAATGAGACTCACAGAGTGAATGCTTGAGACTGTGCTGGCTTCTGTGGTCTGTTTCCAGGTTCTGAGGTTCTGTCGGGTCAGATGAGGACTCCTGAGTGAGGGTTCTGTTCAGAAAGGAGTTGTGTCATGTATGGCACTCTTCTATTACCAGAGCTGCAGGGGCAGGCGGCCTGCACAGGAGACATGAAATCCTGGGTTTGAGCCCCCATGTGTGTCCCATGGCCACTGACTGCCCTGCTTTGAGCAACTTCCATTTTCTCCTTCTCATAAATTGTACCAAGTTGAAGTAAATGCTCTCCAAGATCCATCCTGGTTCTACCGTGTTACATTTCAAGCCCTTCCCCTGGCTGGCAGAGGGGGCTCATAATGAGGAGTAGGCAGGGCAATATCTGGGTTAGGATTTTCCTTGTCTGCAGCTTCTGAGCCCTGGCCTGGAGGCCTCCTCAAGATGGCATCCCATGGGTGATGGGCCGATGCCACAAGCAGCTGCAGGACTGAGCACCCCCTCCAACCTTGCAGGTGCACCCTTTGCTCCCGGGCATGTCGGCCATCATGATCCATGACCTGTGCCTTGCCTTCCCGGCCCCGGCAAAGGCTGACGTGTACGTCTCAGACATTCAGGAGCTCTACATCCGCGTGGTTGATAAGGTCAGTAACAGTTCCTAATAGGGCCCCTCACTGCTGGTTCACAGAGACGGGGGAGTGGTGAGGTTGTGAGAGTTATTTTCCTCATGCCCTTTGCTCTTTCTCCTGGTTTCTGAGTCCCTGTATCCAGCTCCTGAGTTGCTTTGAGCTTCTAGTGCTGTCTCGCCTCCGTTCCTCCTTGTGCACGATGTGGAGCAACCTTTGCGTTTAGACTTGTTTATGCCAGTTGACATCAGGAAAGCTCAGCTGTAAATCCTGCCCAAAGTTGTCTCCTCCTTAGCCCTGACTTGGGAATTCCTGTCCTCTAGCTGGTGTAGGTTACTAACCAACACTAAGCAAGGCACACAACTTGCTGATGGTGAATTTTCCCCCTGATATGTGGGTTTTGGATTCTTGGGAATCTTAGTGGCAAGTGAGTAAAATGCACAAATGCCAAGTGCTTTTGGAAAAGGAATAATGATAGAATCTTTAATTCTTTAATGCAAATAGGGAATTTTTATTGCTCCAAATACCTGAAGGAGCTGCAGCTAGGCTTACAGAGGGTTGCTGTCAGGTTCCTAGTTTCCTGACTGGAGAGAACAGTTAGTAATTAAAAGGGGAATGCTTGAGTAGCTTAGAGTACTTGAAAAGCCAATATTCTCTTACACAGCCTCAGATATTCCTTCTGTGGTCCTATTTCCTGATCAGACTTCTGTTTCTTCACTAAGCATTTCTGACGCTTTGTATCCCAAGGTCCTTACTATATGTATTATACATACTGCCAGGTGTGAGCTATTTGGTCAGTGAGCACTTATTGAACTCCTACTGTATGCTCTTCTGGCTGCATCTTATCACTCTAGATTCTTAGCTCTTTAAGATTGGGGAGTGTAATTTATGTGTCTGAGTATCCCCAAAGCCCCTTGTATACAGGAAACACTTAAGTGATCTTCATTTGTTGATTGGCCGGTTATCTGGAGCTCAGCCTGGGTCTGTGGGTTTGAGGTTAGCAACGCCTTGGCAGAAAGCCTTGGAGTGCCACTGGTGATAGAATTAGTCACTCAGAGGCTACCCTGAGTCTTTTGTCCCCCACAATGCAGGTGGAGATTGGGAAGATGGTCAAGGCATATGTCCGCGTGCTGGACTTTCACAAGAAGCCTTTTCTGGCCAAATACTTTGCCTTCATGGACCTGAAGCTCCGGGCAGCTTCTCAGATCATCACGTTGGTGTGAGTCCTCTCAGGGGGTCCAAGGAAGCCATCCCAGGGACAGCACTGGCAGGTTGAGGGGAGAAGTCCCAGCCCTTCCCTCTGTTCCAGGGCCCTTGACGAAGCCCTTGACAACTACACCGCCACGTTCCGTGTCCATGGTGTGGCCATTGGCCAGACCAGTCTCACTGCGATGGTGACTGATAAAGCTGGACAGCGAATCAACTCAGCCCCACAGCAGATTGAGGTAAAACTGGGCTTCCTCCCACCAGGTGGGATCTGTCCAGCCCTCACTGCCTGCGTGCATGGAGTGGGAAGTGTGTCATTTTTGTGATGGGCTAGGAGTTCTAGGGATCGTCCAGGAAGCTGCCGTGGAGAAACCATATTAAAATCTCTGCCCTGCCATGTCCTCTGACTCAGAGGGAGCTCTCACCCTTCCCCGAGGCGGCAGCAGCAGAGGGAGGGGCCTGAGGTACTTTAATCTCCCTCTTTGTGGGGGGGCCAGGATGTGGCTCAGAGAAGGGGGGAGCTGCTTGTCACATGGCCGGAGAGTGGCAGAATACTCTAAATCCTTAGGTGCCAAGAGGAGGCAGATTAGGCTCATGTGTAGAAGCTCATCCTGACATTCGGTCCGAACTGGCCCTCCGAAGCCATGAGCTTCTGTCGTGGAACCCCCTGAGCAAGCAGGGAGCTCCGAGGTCTCCTGGGGTCATCTCCGTATGTGACTCAGGATTGTCTTGTGGCATTAGGTTTGCACAGGAGCCTCCCAGTCCCCGGAGGCCAAGGCAGCCATGGCCCCACATTCACATCCAAGTTTCTCCTTAACCCTCCTGCCAGCGTCCTCCACAGGTCTTGTCCACACAGGGGCCGGCAGACTTTATATTAAACTGTTCCGGAGCCGGTGGTTGTGGTTTGTGCTTCTGGATGGAAGGGCTCCTTTCTTCTGGTGAAGAATTCATTTTTGCCTATAAATAGCACAGCCCTACAGAAATTAATCCTTATGCACAAAGCAGCCCCTTGGCTGACTGGCATATGCGCTCACCGTCCGGGCTCTTCCTGCACTCCTGCTGGGCGGGGCCTGGGGGGGCTGGCGGGAGGATGATGTTGGACCTTCCATGCTGCAGAGACAAGGGCGTCCTTGTCCCTGCCCCCCCCCAAACCCCGTTCTTCATCTAAGAAGTTTTGAGAGCACTGAAGAAGAGAACTGTTCTCTGGCAATTTATCAGTAGAAATTGGAGAAATGCAATGAAAGGGGGAAAACCTTGAAGGCAGTGGAATGTGAAATTTGCCGTGCATCAGAATCCCCTGGAGGACTTGTTAAAACACAGATTTCAGGAGACCCCTCCCCCAATTCCGATTCCATAGATTGGGGTGGGCTGGAGAATGTTTGTTTCTAATGGTTCTTAGGTGACGCTGATACTGCTGGTCAGGGGACCACGCAGTGAGGACCGTGCTGTAAGGGGAAGTTTATGTGAAGAAGGTGTGTTTATCTTCATGGGGCTTCAGGTCTGGGGAAACGAGGCTTGGTTACAAACAGCAGAACATGCCCCCAGGAATCGCAGATCCTCAGGCCCCTGCTCGGGCTGAGATCCTGGGGAGGGGCGCTCAGGCTCCTCCCAAGCTGGCCAGGACCCCAGGCCCTCCCCAGTCACCTCTCACAGAGGAGGGATGTCCAGGCACCACGTGTCCCTCTCCCTGAAAACATTCAGGGTGAATTCCCCCCGGCCGTGTGAGCTCGGAACACAACGGCCCGCTTCTCTCTTGTGTTTCCACATGCAGGTCTTTCCCCCATTTAGGTTGATACCCAGGAAGGTGACACTGATCATCGGGGCCATGATGCAGGTAGGAGCCAAAGGCCACATGCTTGCCCACCCCCAGCCTTGGCCCCTGCCTGGCTCCAGGCATGCCCCCACCCCACCCCCAGGTGGCAGGAGGCTAAGATGGAGCGCTCGGGGGTGTTGGCACCCTCGCCTCTGAGAATGAGGGGGCTGATTGGGCACTGCTGTTTCTCCCCACTCCAGATCACCTCGGAGGGCGGCCCGCAGCCCCAGTCCAATATCCTCTTCTCCATCAGCAACGAGAGCGTCGCTGTGGTGAACAGCGCGGGGCTGGTGCAGGGGCTGGCCGTCGGAAACGGCACGGTGTCTGGGGTCGTACAGGCTGTGGACGCGGAGACTGGCAAGCTCGTCATCGTGTCCCAGGTAATGCGTGTGGGCTGCACTGATCACGTGTGCTTCTGAAGCCTCTAGTGGTGGGGTGCACTGCTCCCCCCTGCAGTTGGTGCGCTGGTCAGTTGTGATGGTGAGGAGGTCTGTTTACTGGGGTCGGGCTCTGCTCCCAGGGACCCCCCTCTCTGAGGGCCCTGCTTCTGCCCTCTGAGTCCACAGCCCCTGTCTGCCACCCGCCCCCTCCCAGGGTCAGCCCGGCCAACCTGGGGATCCCCAAGATCCATCTCCAGGCTGAGTCTCCCTAGCTGCTCCTTAAGGGACAGGGTCTCCAACACCGTCCCCACCCTGGGGACATTCCAGTGCACAATGGTGGCAGCAGCTATAACGGTGGACTCTGCCCTGGGCACTTTACACCTGCCTCCTTTACTTCCCTCGGCACCCCTGCCCCCGGGCATTTGCTGCTAACCTGTTTCCTGATGACGGGCCTAAGGAAGAGCTAGTGGCCCAAGGCTTGGGGATGTTCATATGGAAGAGAAAGGAGTACTGTTGCCTCCAACATGCTTTGTGGATTGCAGTAGGAGTTTTCAGGGGCGTGCATAGCTTGGCTACTGTAAGCGTGGACAGTTGGACACCAATAGGATTTCAGACCCAGAGCTGTATTTCCAGAAAGAAAGGAAAACCTGAATCATGCACTAGTCACTTTTGCTCCACTGGAGGTTAAGTTATCCCCCAAGCCTCTTGGCTGGACTCGGGGACATTTGCGAAGTGCTTTTCTGGATCAGCAGAGATGTTGGAAGGCTCAGCTAGGGGAGCTCTCCCCGCAGGAGGGTCTTCCTGCCCCACATCAGCGACCCTGACTCCAGGCAGGGGAAAGTTGGTTTCTTTTTTTTGTGTTCTGTTTTTTTTTTTTAAGATTTTATTTATTTATTTGACAGAGAAAGACAGAGTGAGAGAGGGAACACAAGCAGGGGGAGTAGGAGAGGGAGAAGCAGGCCTCCTGCCGAGCAGGGAACAGGGAGCCTGATGCGGGGCTCGACGTGGGGCTCAATCCCAGGACCCCGGGATCATGACCTGAGCCGAAGGCAGACGCTTAACGACTGAGCCACCCAGGCACCCGTTTGTTTCTTTTCTTTCTTTTTTTTTTTTTAAAGTGGGCTTCACACCCGACGTGGGGCTTGAACTCATGACTTTGAGATCAAGAGTCGCATGCTCCACCGATTGAGCCAGGCAGGCTCCCTGAACATTGGTTTCTAAGTCTGTTGGTGCTCCTTGTTTCCCGGGGGTGGGCACCTCGTCGGGCTCCTCACAGGAGATGGGAGATGGTCTCCACATCCTGAGCAGGCCTCAGAGTCCTTGGGCTCTTCCTGACATCCTGTGACCACGGTGACTTGTGGAAGCATCTCAGGGGAGGTGGCCAGAAATCTGGGCTCTAATGTGACTGCGGACAGCCTTTTCAGAACCCCGTCTGCCTGTTCCTTGTCCGGCATTCAGGGCTCCCTGGAAGGAGTCCATGAGCTCCCTGAGTTCACCGCATCTGAACACAGAGCACCCAAGGGAGCTGGTGTGTGCATCATCCTAGAGAAGGGGAGGCTGATGCATCCTTCTTCCCAGGGCTGACTTTGATCTGACATTGAGTTCATTGATTTACTCCCTTTTGCAGGAGTTGCAGTGTCTCTGCTTAAACCACAAAGTCTTTTTGAATCATGGAGGTAGATGCCCTGATTCTACCTATTGATTTTATAAAGACAGCAAGAAAGCGTTGGGAATGTGAAATCTGTCCTGTGGCATATAGCAGGATTCAGATAGACGTCCTGGAGAATAAGATGAAGGACCAAGGAGGCCTTGCTTTTTTTTTTTTTTTTTTTCCCCTTCCAAAAAAAGGACTGTGGCTTCAGGAACTAGTTTATTTTCCTCCTCCTGGGGGCCCAGGTAGCTGAAATGGCAGCTGGCTGCAACTTCGGCCAGAGGGGCAGACAGCCATGCATTTCCCTCCCAGCCACTTCTCTTCCTGGTCTGACCTTGCCAGGCCACCTCTCTCTGTGTGTCTCCCATCTGGCGGGGTGGGAGAGTTGCTGGGGGGAGATCCTGGTGCCCCTTGGCAGATGGAGAGGCTGTGCCACCGGTCCTAGCCAAAAGCCATCTTCTTGAGCCCAGGCAGGCGGGGGCTCAGCTTGAGGCCCACGTGTCCACAGAGTGTATGGGGTTCTGCTCCAAAGCTCCCAGTTCCATCTGTCCAAACCAGGTCACCGATTCAGCACCCATGGCCAGGGTATGGGCTGGGACTGGCAGAAGGAGACCGGGCAGTTAAACGGCAAAGGGAAGGAAAGGAATGGATGTTTATTGAGTACCTACTAAATGCCAGGCATTAGGCTGGATCACAAGACACAGGAGGTGGGCTCAGTATGAGCCAATGCAAATAAGGCTTAAGGGTTTTAGTAGCCTGGGTTCAGCAAGAGCCAATAGCACTATAAAGAAGCCTAATAAAGTTAATCTTTGTTTTTTAAGATTTTATTTATTCATTTGAGAGAGAGAGAGAGCCAGACAGAGCATGAGCAGGGGAGAGAGGCAGAGGCAGAGGGAGAAGCAGGCTCCCCGCTGAGCTGGCAGCCTGACATGGGGCTCTCCATCCCAGGACCCTGGGATCGTGACCTGAGCCAAAGGCAGACGCTTAACCGACTGAGCCAACCAGATGCCCCTAAAGTTAATCCTTGACCAGATTAATTAGAGTGTAGACTTCAGAATGAAAGACGATATACAGTCTGCTCTAACTAGATTCTGTGTCCTGCATTTGTCACAGTACCCTGTTCACTTACAGAGAGAAACATGCTAGATCTGGGGTTGGGAGAATCTGGAATCCTGTCCTGTGAGGGCCACCCCGAAGAGCAGTCCCCAAGTCACTGCCCCCAAGGCTCTGGACTGCTGACCTGGAGCAGCTGGATCAGATAGGCCTCTAGGCTCAGAGGACCAGGCTGGGACCCCCAAGGGAATGGGAAAAAGTGGCCAGTTCTCTGTGGGGTGAGTCACCCACGGGACCAGGCTGCCTCAGGAAGAGGAGCGTGGTGCTGGGCATCTTGTGAGTACCTCCTGGCCGCAGGACTCTAAGCTGGCCTCAGCAAGATCCTCCTTCCCTGGAAAGGTCCCGTTGCGAGCCCCTAGTCCCTACCGCAGCCAGCCTGAACCCCAAAGCCCTTTCCCTAGGACCTCGTGGAGGTGGAGGTGCTGCTTCTGCAGGCTGTGAGGATCCGCGCTCCCATCACTCGCATGAGGACGGGGACCCAGGTGAGGCGGGAAGCTCTCCGACCCCTCCCATCGTGCTGGCTGCCTGAACAGCCTCTCTGCAGGCCTTGGGCTCCAAGTCCTGGTTTGGGATGAGGTTGGCGGGGTCATGGCTAGGTCACTGTTCCCTCTTCTGCTCAACAGCTGCTGGTCCTTGGGTTCAGCTCCAGCTTTAGGAGCCTTCCCTGTGTTTCCTGCTCCGGGCTCCTGTGTTTCCTCTGGCACAATTACTGAGTGGCACCTGTGCCCCCCCCGCCCCCCCTTCCGCCCAGGTCCACCAGCTTCCCACACCTAGAATAGCACCTGGCACATCACAGGAGCTCACGTTGATATGGCGGGTACTCTGCTCCGTGCTTTCTGTGCAGCAATTCCTTCAGTGTTCGTTAACAACCCGTGAGGTTGCTCCCTGTGTCATCCTTCTGTTATAGATGAGGATGTGAACACACGTAGAAAGCTTACGACCTTGGCCCAAGGTCACACAGCTAGTAAGTGATGGAACTGTAAATTGACCCAGGCAGCCTGGCACGGAGTCTGTTCTTGGCTTTTGGCAGTGTTCCTCCACGTGTTTCCCCTGGCGGGCACTCAGGAACCTCAAATCCCACCTGTGCCCATCCCCCCGTGAGCAGGGACCCCCGGCTGGGTTGAGAAAGAAGAGCAGAGGCAGGGACCAACCGCGGGGCAGGATGAGCTGTGCCACTTGGGAGGCTGCAGGTACCCTAGAGCTCCGGGGAGGGGGGTCACATCACAAAGCGGGGGTCGTTCAGCTAAGGTGAGACACCGTCCACAGCCCAAGGACTGTGTGCGGAGGGACGGTTCTGTCTTTTATTTGATCACTGGCTGTTCGGCCAGCCCTCCCGCACCTGTGCTGGGCCCATCTCTGGCGAGGGAAGAATGGGGCACAGCTCCCATTGCACGAAGGAGACAGGAAGGGACCCAGGCAGTGGAGAGGTAGTTCAGGCAGTGCCCCAGGGCTTTAGGGGGCACTCTCGGCAGGGGGACTCTGGCGGTCACAGGCCTAGATTCTCTCCTGCAGATGCCTGTTTATATCACCGGGATCACCAACAACCAGAACCCTTTCTCCTTTGGCAACGCGGTGCCAGGCCTGACCTTCCACTGGTCTGTCACCAAGCGGGATATCCTGGACATCCGGGCGCGACACCATGAGGTAACTGCCCACCCTGGGCCCCCGTCCCCCGCTCCCATGTGCACCAGTGTCCGGAGCAGGGAGGGTTCTCCCATATTTCTGCATGTGGGGTGTGCACCCTCACTCCCAGGCCGGTCCTGGCCCCATTCTTTCTCTCAGGGCTCATCGGGGCACCTTGCAAATGCTGCCACCACACCGTCCTCCCCTGGTGTCTGTCCTCCGCTCCCAGTCCTCTCCTGTCCAGGAATCTGGGCTCCTAGCTCTCCCTCCTTGCAGCCCTTTCCACTCTAAGCAACGTGCTTGCTAAGCACTGCAGACGGGCTTTGTAGGTAACCGACTTCAGAAGGCAGCAAAAATGACAGCCTTGTGGGGAGGTCACAGAAGTTCCAAAACATCATAGGGTCTTGGTCAGGGTACCTAGTCTGTAACTTCTGACCTTCTCTCTCAGGTGATGCCTGGCAGCCCTGGGGCTTTTTCCAGATTTATCCCTGAGGGACAACCCCCCTCCCCTTAGCCCTTCTGAGAGGGACCCTGGCCTTTCCTCAGACCACAGAGCTGGAAGAGAAGCTACTGAGCCCCTCTTTGTGTTGACTGGAGCCCATCTGTGGGAAGGGACTTGGTGTATGTCGCCCAGTGAGCCAGTGGGGAAATGGGACGGTGGGCCGTGGTCATGCAGGACCCAAGTGGGGGGTGGTTTGGGGAGGTTTCTTCTTGCCTTATCTGTGCACAGCAGGAAGGGGGTGGTTGGGGAGGGTCCCGTTCCCGGAACCAGGTGCTTCCCCAGATTGTTCCTTAAGCACAGACATGTCATGTGTGGGGCTTTTCAGGGAAACACTGCCAAGCCTAGCATCCCTCTTGGTTCATCGCCCACTCCCCACACTAAAGGCTCTGAGAAGGCCTGCCCAGCTGGGTTGACCCAGCATGACCCACCTGCACCTGTGAACCTCTGCCTGCCGCACGGGTGCTGGGGTTAGCGGGCCCCAGCCAGAGCGGGGAGGCATCAGGCTTTGAGGACAGGCGGGCAGCTGTCAGGGGTACCAGGGCCCCAGGCCCTCCCTGAGAACGTGTTTGGTGTCTGTTCCAGGCTTCACTACGGCTTCCGTCACAGTACAACTTTGCCATGAACGTGCACGGCCGGGTGAAAGGCCGGACCGGGCTTAGGGTGGTGGTCAAGGCTCTGGACCCCACCGCTGGGCAGCTGCATGGCCTTGCCAAAGAACTCACCGATGAGATCCAAATCCAGGTAAAGAGCAAGGGGGCAGAAGCCAGCGTTAGAGGGAAAGCAAGTGCCCCCCCCCAGGGTCATTTGGGCCCACATCAGCCCTGCTACCACCCATGCACCTGATGACTTCTTGGCCTGCAGGGGTCAGGAGTATATAAGGTGCTGTGGGAGCCCAGAGTTGGGGCTGCCCAGGGCCATCAGGATGGGGCTGGGTGGCCGGCAGGCCAGGTGGGAGGAATGGCGTGTACAAAGTCCTGGAGGTCTGAAATAGCTCAGTGTGTTCCACAAATAGCAGATAATTCTGCACTTAAGAGTCTGAGGCACCTTCATAGTAGGAAGAAGCTGGAAAATCATGAAGCATTCATTGAATTGTCTGTGTTTATTTCACAAATACTCAGCACTTAACGGAGGCAGGCTTGCCTTTTGCCACTTCCCAGTGTTGTTTCACCTGGGAGGTGTTCCCATGAAGCCAGCGGGCACTGCTGCCCGATGATGAGTCTGCAGCCCGAGGGGGTAGGGGTCAAAGTGCCCCTCCAGGTCGCGGTGAGTGGGTGGTGGGCCCAGAAAGGCCTGGAGGGCTGTGCTGTGTGGACAGCCTGGCAGACAGTGTGACCTATTGATTCACAGATGGAAACCGAGCCTCAGAGAGGGAGGGGGGCTGCTCAGAACCCCCAGGGGTACACCACTGAGTCAGGACGTAGAGCCCAGCGGTTCTTCTCCCACCCAGGGCTTAGCGCCTGTGTTTCTGTCTCCAGCCTGCCTTACTACCTCCCCTGTCCTTCGGGGCCCCTCTCTAAAACTAGGGAGGGGACAAGTTGCTTCTGAGGAGCATTTTTAGCTTCACAGGGCCCCGTTCTACTCATCTGGGACTCAGTAACCTCTGGGTCCCCCTAAATTGCAAAGAAAAATTGAAAGTGTCCCCTAAATATCATGAGAAAAGAAACAGATTCAAGCCTCCTCTTCAAGATGAAATAAGCCATTTTTAACCTAGACGCTTATCTCGTCGGGGGTAGAGATTTTCAAAGAAAGAAACACCCATTTAGCAACCCCCTCACCTCTGTCTGCACGCATGCATGCACACATAGACACACAAACATACACAGACTCACAGAAACATGCACACGCACATGGATAAATATGGTTACACGGACCCACATACAAATACACATTCTTCCCAATTAAAAATAAAATGAAATCATGTCCGGCGCCTCTCATGGGATTAAAGACGGGGCTTGTAGCTTCTAAATTCTGTGACCTCACTTGAGTCACTTAACATCTTTGTGCCTCGGTTTCCCTAGCTGACAGCAGCTGGAGGTTTGAGTACATCAGAAACTTTGAGACGCTGGATCCAGCCCACAGATGTATTTGCTTTGGTTCATGCAGTGCTCTGAAACAATTTTTATTTGTTGCCAACATTTAAAAATAGGAAGATGTTGTCTAAAAACCCAGTACGCAGCTTGTCCTGAAGATATGGCGTCTTGCCACGTGGCAGAATCAGCAGGCAATGAGAAGCAGCCTCCCCACAATGGAGCCGGCCCCTCACCTCCCCGTCATTGTCCCCTGGGTGGTGAGGCCACGGGTCCGTCGCTGTTGACTCTGGTGCTCGCACTGTTGCTTTCCTGACACTTGAGTTAACAGGAAAGTTAGATCGCTCTTACACCCTCCCCTCCCTCTAAAGAGAGGCAAAAAATCACATGCATTTAAGAAAAACAGGAGGAAACCTATTTGTGGGTGTGTTTCCTGTGCCGTGTGTGTGTTGGAGTCAGAACCAGGGAGGCTGCTCCACTCTGGGCACCCCCTGCCTGGTGGAAGGACCCCCTGAAACCAGAACCCCATCTCGCTCCCAGAGACCATTTATCATTCACCATTTAGGAAGTGCCAGTCACGTTGCCACACAAATCCCACAGCATTTTGAGACAGACATGGCAAGAATTATTGGTTTTAGACCCATTTTACAGATGAGGAAATCTAGGCTTATGTATATGATCAGAACACAGCAGTGCTGGGAGGGAAGGGGTTTCCTTGGAAAACCAGGCCCTTCGCATCCAGCCCGTCTGATCAGATCAGAAGCCAGAGGGGGAGCTCAAAGCTGGGTTCAGCATCCAGGCCCGGATGCCAAAGGAGGTCCTCCCAAGGCCCCCTAGAGAAAAGGACTTGGAAGGGCGGTGGGCAATTAGGGTGCTTGTCGGGAGGGGTCTGGAGTTCCTGTAAGAGCTGCGACCCTGGGCTGGGGAGCTGTGGAAGGCCTCAGGGCTCCTGGGAAGTGAGGATCAGATTCGATCTGATTCGCTCCAGTACTATCAGGTTTCTCATGGGCCAGCCTGGTTCAATGACACACCCCGCCCCAGCCCGTGCAGCTCCCAGGAGAGCATGGCAAGAGGGGGGAAGATCAGGGCCAAGGGGCGGATGGGACTTATTCCGAGATGGGCACAGTGAGGAGCAGCTGAGCCAGACCCTGGGCCCTGTTGTTCTGTACACTGCCTTCCGTGCCCATAACGATCCCCCCACCACGGGAACTTGGGGGGTGGCCTGTGCTCCCTGGCTCCATGAAGCAGCTGCCGTCGGGGTGCGCAAACATGAGCCTGCCCGCTTGTTCTCATCACACCTCTGGCCTCTCTTAAAAGTCCGCCCTTCCCATCCCATCCCCTGCCGCCTGGCAGGTGCCCACAACAGTGTTCCCCCCTCTCTGGGCCCCTTTGGTCTCACTGCCAGGAGGGGAGCAGGGGCCTGAACGGGACTCCAGCACATCCCAGAGAGCAAACCTTGCCCTCCATTCCAGGTATTCGAGAAGCTGCTGCTGCTGAACCCTGAAATAGAAGCAGAACAAATATTAATGTCACCCAACTCATTTATAAAGCTTCAGACAAACAGGTACGTGACTCAGCGCTTGTTTGCAGCAGGGCTGAGAAGCTGCGCTCCACATCGGACGACTCATTTGTCAAAGTTGTCAGGAGCTGCGGATGCTTCAAGCGAACTGCGTCTCTCTTGGTGTGAAGTGGGTGCGGCTTCTGCATTCCCCTTTCTCTTCCCCATGGATTTCTCCTGCTGTTCCACATCACTGGTCCCCGTGGGTCCATCTTTTCTTCCCTGTCGCCCAGAAAGTTTTTAATGCCTACTGTTCAAGTCCGCAACTCCAAAGGGAAAAAAGTACCACCTTGGAAGAGTTAAATTTTCAAATGCCCCTCTGTCTTCAAGACTTGCTGTTTGGTGGGTATCATTCCTGAACCAGCAGCATGGGCATCACCTGGGAGCATGGTAAAGTGCAAATTATGGGCCGCAACCCAGACCTGCACTCAGCCAGATCCCTACTCGGTGGGGACGTACATCGGTGTCTGCAAGTATAATTCCTGCCTTGCATTCACGTGGGGTGCCTTTGGTAGCAATGACTTGCATGCAAACTATGGTTTGCAAAGTGGGGGGCTCTGAGGACCACAGGGGTACTTGCATGTTGCATGAAACACACCTATGTGGTGTTCGTTCAGCCACAAGTGTCTAAATGCCAGGCTGTGTGCTAGGCTCCTGGAACAGAGTTGGATGGCATTCTGGTGGGGAAGAGAGAAGTACAGCATGAGAAGGGCGACAATCAAACAAGGTATAATGGTTAAGCCATAGCCCAAAAAAGGGCCTTCTATGTGACGATTTAGGGGAGTCATGTCAGATAGAGATGGTTGAGCTGGGTTGTTTTTTTTTTTAAGATTTGATTTATTTGAGAGCAAGAGAGCTCGATCACGAGCAGGGGGTAGGGGTAGAGGGAGAAGCAGGCACCCCGCTGAGCAGGATGCAGGGCTTGATCCCAAGACCCCAGGATTGCGACCTGAACCGAAGGTAGATGCTTAACCGACTGAGCCCCCCAGGCGCCCCTTGAGCTGGGTCTTGAAGGATGAACAGAACTTCTGCAGGTTCCAGGGAAGGGGTAGGTGATGGGGGAGAAAGTTGAAGCAGAGGCAATAATACTTTTTTAATGTTGTCTGAGGAGGGTCTGGAGGGCTGTGTGCAAAGAGCAAGGTGAGGGGGCTAGCCCTGGGGGCTGAACACATTTCCTTCCTGTTGTTTCTTTATTATATAATAAACGTGAGAGTATAAAATACCGTGGAATTTGTCTTCTACCCACTGCAGATCATTAGTAGCTTTACGAACCATTTTCTGAGCAAGTAGCTCATTTTTATCCCATTGCCTGCCCTTGGAAATAGGACAGGTTAGGACCATTGCTTCCCTTTTACAGTTGGGGAAACTGAGGCCAAGAGAGGAGACACGAGGTGCCTCAAGGTGTGCAGCTGTCTGCGGGGCATTGGGACTGTGCTCAGGATCTGCCCAGCTTGGGGCCCCATCCTCTTTCCACTGTGCCAGGCTGCCTTCTGTCAGTAAATGGGAAACCATTTGCCCCAGAAAAGATCTTTTACAGCAAAAGTCCTATGCAAGGGATGAAAGCAGCTCAGCCCTCAGTCTTTTCTCCCAGAAGCAGTGCTCTCCTTGGAACCATCGGTTTTCCACAATAGGTTTCCCATGGGTGACTGAGGAGGCTGCAGTCAGGCTGCCCACCTGGGTCCTAATGCATAGCAGGGCCAGGATCAGGCCTTTTCCTTCTCCCAGGAGCCCTCGGGAAGCCCAGATGGCTGCATCTCAGGGCAGGGATGCCGGGCCCCTCACCGAGACCTGCTCCCACAGCCACGCTCTGAAAAACTGGGTCTATTTGTTTTCCCAAGGGATGGTGCAGCATCTCTGAGCTACCGAGTCCTGGATGGGCCGGAGAAGGTTCCCGTGGTGCATGTGGATGAGAAAGGCTTCGTGACATCAGGGTCCATGATTGGGACATCCACAATTGAAGTGACTGCCCAAGAGCCTTTTGGGGCCAACCAAACCATCATCTTTGCTGTAAAGGTAGGATTGTCTTCTCCTCCTTTTGGAGTAATAAAAGCAAGAGCATTGAGGTAAAAATGTTCCCCTCACAGTTGTAAAATGGATCTATTCACCTTCCAGCTGAGAAATTGTATGGAAGAATTTATTGAAGAATAACTTGGGGGCAGAGGTCCTAGAGGAAAAGCTATAGCATCTTCTGAATGTCAGAGCTGAAGTTCCTTAGAGGTTATTGATTGCAGTGGCCTCATTTCACAGAGTGGGAAACGGAGGCCCAGTGAGGCCTGTGATTTGCTGGGGCTGGCACCCCCATGTCCTGACAGGACAGATGGTACCTGGAGCATGGTCGGTGCCCACGAGCAGTGACTGTGTGTGCTAGACACCCAGCGCAGAAATCATTGCATTACGTACGTGGTGACGTGGAGAATTCAGTAACCCATTTTACAGGCAAGGAAACTGAGATTCCTAGTGGAAGTGAGTCACTGTCGGTGGCTGCGAGGCAGGGTCTGGGCCCTAACCCACGTGGGCCAGGCTCAGGTTTGTGTCCCCCGGCCTCATCGCAATGCTTCCCATGGCCCCCTGCCATTCCATGCTCCTTTGTGCTAGGGACTTTCTCCTTGGGCGTCCTTGGGTCGGGTCCCCCAGATTTCCCTCCTGTACCTCCTCCTGGCCACATTCTGAATCCTGAGTGACAGACAAGATGCGTGACTTCAAGTTTGAGATCCTGCCGGGGTCACAGACCTACTTCCTTAATTAATGCCTTTTTGCTTCAAGGTGGGTGCCTTGCAGGGAACCCTCCACCCTACTCTTTGAGTAAGTGGAAGCGACTCACTGCTCACCCTACTTCAGCAAATATGTACTGAGCACCAGCTGTATACCTGTCACTGCACCCACTGATATTTATCCCAGAAATTAGGTCTTTTGAGGGGGCGAAAGTTCTGGCCAGGATAGATTTTACTCAGAGTTCGGGGACCAAGGCCGCCGTCTCTGGAGCTCGGGTTCCCTCCTCCCCAACCTGCTTTCCCTGGAGCACCTGCAGGCTCCCAGCAGCTCCCAGTTAATGCCTCCTCTGCAGTCCAAACGGGCATTGTTTCCACTTAAAACACCCGGAGAGCCAGGTTTCCCAGAGAAACCGAACATTCAAAGCCCAGGGGATATTTTTGCAAATGTGAATAATCTAATTTTTCAAAGCCATGGGTTTTGATTCTTGTAGGTTGGGTTTTTTGTGTAAGCCCAGGCTGCTGTGTGAGGAGGCAGCAGTCTCATCACTAGGTTGGGACGCTCAGGAGACCAAGGCCTTTCCTCTTTCCGTGACCCCCGAGTCGATCCAGCTCCCGGTCCTTCCTGAGGGAGGTGACCCGCCTGGGGGCAGACGTCTCATCCTGGGAAGGCTGGTTCCCAGTGTGGTCACCACCACACCTGCTCACTGTCCTCAGGTGTCTCCAGTTTCTTACCTGAGGATCTCCATGAGCCCCGCCCTGCACACCCAGAACAAGCAGGCTCTGGCAGCCCTGCCTTTGGGAACGACTGTGACCTTCACGGTCCACTTCCATGACAGCTCCGGAGACATCTTCCATGCTCACAACTCGGTCCTCAGCTTTGCAACCAACAGGTAGGCTGTGGGTGACCCTCATTTCTCACGGGAAGGCGTGCCTCAGTTGTACCTGGATGGCAACTGGACAGCCTAGTGCCACTGAAAGGAGACTGTGTTACCTGCAGTCGCCAAGAGGAGGGGACGTGCCACACTTCTAGGGCCACAGGGGGAAGCCCTGGGCTCGGCCAGGAGGCAGGAGTGAGGGGAAAGCGGCGCCCAGAGCCTTTATTACCATGTGGCGGGAAGCCATCGGTGATGTGCCCTGGTGGGCAGGAGGCGAGACACAGTGTCGGGGTTTGTGGTTGGAGGGCTTGTGGTAAGACTTCTGTGTGCCTGGGAAAGCCCCCCACAGGGGAGACGCACACCTTCCAGTGCTCCGGTGCGGGTGAGGAAGGAGTCTGACGTTCACTGCCTCTACTGTGTCTCACTGACGCCCCACTATAGCCCATTTGTCGAGGCTCAGAGAGGTCAAGCCACTTGCCCAAGGTCACACAGCCAGGAAGTGGGTTTGAATACCAGGTCACATCTGGCTCCACGTGCAATTCATTTTGGCTCTTTGGAAATACAGCTGCAGCCACAGGCCTCATGTGAGGCAAGAGGGCGCTCTCCAGAGCAGGAAGAGAGCCATGGCCTCAGTCTGGGCCTGCTGAAATCTCTGACTGGGTCTGCTGGAGCAGTGAGTCTCAAAATGTGGTCCCCAGACCAGCAGCACCAGCAGCACCTGGGAGCCCTTAGAAATGCAAGTGCACAGGACCCAACACTCTGTCTTTTAAGGAGGCTTCCAGGCGATTCTAAAGCTTGAGAACTACTGCCCCAGGGGCCTGCAGACCAGCAAAGAGCAGGAGAGAGAGGCATCAGGCACAGGAGGAAGGAGGGGTTTGGGCAGGGGTGCTAGGGAGTATGGGGGGCAGAAGATTATATCCAGGTGTGGGTGTCCATTGTAAGTTGGCCTCCCCACAGGCCTGCGACAGACTTGTCCCCTGTTGCTCACATACCCGGGGCCAGGCATAGGGGACGTAGCATGGTAGAAGGACCGGGTTTTGGGGTTAGACCCAGTTCAAGCCCCAGCTCTGCGCTTTGTGGGCCCTTCCCAGGCAAGGCAGCTCGCCTCTCCAGGCCTCCGTCCCCACACCTGTTGTGTGGGGAACCTGCCTCGTCCTCAGGGCCATCAGCTGAGGCCATAGTCGAGAAGGCCTCTGGCAAACTGCAGCTCCGTGCACGTGGTATGAGCCGTGCATCCATCTGAGACCCAGGCTACCCTGGAGGAAGTGGAGGCGGGTCCTCCCAGCCCCTCAGCTACCCCACAGAAGTCCCACTGGCCTTTTTGTGGTGGGAGCACCTGTCCTGGAGACCAGTCAGGGCTCAGGGGTCAGAAGGCATGGTGGAGGAAAGGGAGGAAGGCAGAGACCCTGCCCCTCAGGCCGGCCAGTCCAGGCCTGATGTTGACCAAGCACTCACCATGTGCCGGCCGCTGGTCTCACTGCTTTATAGCACCGACCTGGTTTCACACTTACGTCGAGCCTGGGACACAGGTACATTCTCATCCCCATTTTACAGAGGAGGCAGGGGGCAGAGGTCGTGCCTCCTGAGAATGTCCCAGTTCACTGTTGGGAAGGGCCTGGCAAGCGCTTTGTAGCTCACCTTGCCCTCTGGCCTCAGCCTTCCCTTCTCGAATGTGGGGGATGTGTGCCGGGCCACCCCAGCTGTGGGCCATGGGCTCCTCCCAGGGAAGAGGAGAGGAGGTGAGGTTCATGTGGCCCTGTGGTGGCCCCAGATCTGCAGCAGTTGCTTGGGAAACTTGAGCCAGAAGGACGTCTGGGGCCACAGTCAGCGAGAAGCTTCACCGGGCAGGGGACTCAGTGTGTCTCTCCCTCTGAAGTCGGGCACTTCTTCCCTGAGACTGAGAGCCCGCCTCCCCTTCCTGTGCCTAGAGACGAGTTTGTGCAAATTGGGAAGGGCACCACCAACAACACGTGCGTTGTGCGCACCGTCAGCGTCGGCCTGACGCTGCTCAGCGTGTGGGACTCAGAGCACGGGGGCCTCTCCGACTTCGTCCCGCTGCCCGTCCAACAGGCCATCTCCCCGGAGCTGTCTGGAGCAGTGGTGGTGGGGGACGTCCTCTGTCTGGCCACGGTCCTGGTCGGCCTGGAAGGTAAGAGAGGCGGATGCTGGCTGGGGAACCCTTCTGAATCCAGGCAGTCACGAAGATGGGAGCGGGCTCCTGTTGTAAGGGTAAGACAAGCAGAGCTCGTAGGAGGTTCAAGAGCAGGCGTCAGAACCCGTGTCCACAGCCCGACACGTGTAGCATCTGGCCCTTTACTGAGCAAGCCTGCCAGCCCTGCGCTCACGTAGCGCTATTTGGTAGAAGTTTCTGCTGCTGCGGAGATATCCTGTATCTACTGTCTAAAGCGGGGGGCACTCACAGTCCAACCCTGGAAATGTGGCTAATGCGACGGAGGAGCTACTTGTTTCATTTGAATGCATTTCATGGCTAGTGGTTCCACTGTAGGACAGAGTACCTCCAAAAGGAAATGTAAGCAAAGAATAGCTGCTGGGCCCGTTCCACGACTTCCAGATCTCAGCCGCTCCCACAGCACCAGTATACCCATGACCTACATTACTTGTTTTGCTTTGTTTTGTTTCACATTTTCCAAGTGACTCCTTATTTTTTAATCGAATTAAATTCATTTTAAAAGGCAGTTAAACACTGCCCTTAAAGAAAAACAAATCTAATGTGCCAGAAATAGAATGTGGTTGTTATTTTGTGGTATATATTCTATAATGTGATTGGCTTTTAACTAAGAAGTGCTGTCCAGCACCAGCTCTTGAGCCTGACACCAGCTTTGTTTGCTAAAAAGGGGTTGATAAACAGTTGGGGGTGGGCAGGGGCAGTCCTGTGGGGAGGGCCTGCTCCCAGGTCATCCCAGGACAAGGGAATGATCAGGAGATTGCAAGCAGGGAGGCGGTAGAGAGAAAGGAGGGCCAGAGGTTCACTCTGGGCAGGGAGGTAGCTGTGCAGAGAGCAGGTGCCCTAGACCTGCAGGTGGCCCCAGGTGGCCACAGCCAGGAGCCAAGGAGGGGGCGGGGGTCCCAAGCCAGGGTGCCAAGGCCAATGGGATGGCTTCTACCCTGAGGGTGACGAATGAGCCCCCGGTGCAGCAGTGTGGAGCATGGGGCTGGGTGGGGCCCCCAGGAGGCTGGCACAGTCACAGAGGGGACAGGGCTTGGCCGCAGTATCGGATGTGGGAATGGTGAGTGACAGCCAGGGCTTCCTCTCCCAGGCCTCTCTGGAACCTGGAGCTCCTCAGCCAGCAGCGTCCTCCACATCGAGCCCAGGACAGGCGTGGCTGTGGCCCGAGAGGCGGGATCTGTGACGGTGTACTACGAGGTTGCTGGGCACCTGAGGACCTACAAGGAGGTGGGGCTTCGGGGTATACGTGGCTGACCCACTCGGGGTGAAACCCTTAGCTTTCTATACTGAATGCCTCCCTTTTCTTGAGAAAAGAAGTGGTAGCAGCTTGCTAGCAGTCAGGAACCGGAGTCAGGAGTCTGGGTTCCGCTGCCCACCGCCTCTGGGATTGGAACAAGCTCCCTTTTCTGCACAGGCCCCTGCCTCCCCACATTCAAAATGGTGCCATGACAGGGGCTGATGTCCTGGGGTGGCCGCCCCCCCCCCGCCCCCTGGCTCCCATGCACTCTGGTGGAAGGGCCGGAACGTCCCCCGGGGGCGTCTCCCCAGGAATCTCGGCGTGGGCAGGCCAGCGCGGCGATGTGGCGTCACCGGCAAAGTTAAGCCTCCCTGGCAAGTCACCTCTTGAGTCTTTCTGGAGGCGAACAAAACCGTTCTCTCTTCTTTTTATCTCCAGCTGAGAATGAATCAATGAGCAACGTCTGGCTGTGTTCCAAATGTGTCTCATTTTAGAGCCAGCGTGCACGTGATCGAATCCAGCAGTTTAAGCTAATAGCTCGCATATTTAGTGCCGGGGCTGTGCAGTGGGTGAGCCGATCCCAGAGAGGGGCACCTTGTGACTGATGAAGCTGTGCTCTCCCGGGAAGAGCCACTGAGAGTGGGCAGGGGCTGGGGCAGCGAGGAGCTGGATGAGAGAGCATGGCATAGGCGAAGGTGTGCCGGGCTCAAGAGCCCAGCCCTGGTGGCCGGAACCTAGGCAGTTGGGGGGAATGGAGGCTGGCATTGCGATCGTGATCCACCCTGGGTTCCCATCCCAGCTGGGCCACTAAGAGGCTGTGTGGCTTCGGGTAAGTTATTCCCCCTCTCTGTGCCTTGGTTTTCCTGTCTGTAAAATGGACAGAAGAGTGTTGTTAAGGATTAAAGGCACTCACATATGTGAAACACTTAGAATGGTACTCAGCAAATGTTCAGTAGGTATTAGCTGCAACTGTTACTATTCCAGAGCAAAGAGGTGGAAGCTTATGCCAAACCCAGGAGGGATTCATCAAGGATTTTTTTTTTTTTACAGTAGAGAGTGATCTAGATCAGAGGTAAGGTTTGGAACGGGTCCCGGTGCCTGGCAGTCTAAGAGCCCAGGAGAGGGGGAGGAGCTGCAGGGTAGCCAGCCAGGGGGCTGAGGATGGGCCCTCAGCTGGCACCGTTGAGTGGCCGGAAACTAAGGGTGGGTTTGGGGGAGATTGAAGAGGGGGATGACTGGAGCTTGATGACCATTTGGAAGTAGGGGTTGAGGGCGTAAGAGGCTTTGGGGATGACTGCCCCGGGGTCTGGCTTGGATGACAAGGTGGATGTTGGTCCTTCACCCTGCCCGGGCAGGGGGAGAGAGGGGGCGTTAGGGATGCAGGAGGGGGGCCAGCGTGGGTGGAAGATGAGTGAGCTGAGACATGGCCAGCTTGAGGTGGTTGCAGCTCCTCCATGTGGGGCTGATGGTGAGGCAGCAGGTGTTTCTGGAGCTCTGGGACAGAAAGCTGGAGATGGGGTGGGGGTCTAAGTACAGAAATGGTTCTGGAAGACCTGAGAGTGGACGGGAACATGCAGAACATACCAGAGCAGGAGGGGAGAGGAGCAAGGCCTTGGGCCCCCTCTGCAAGGTGTGAAGGAGGAGGAAGAGGAAGGGGGAAGAAGACGGTAGCATGGTGGTCAGAAGGAGTCCAGGAGAAGATGTGAAGAACTAGGGCTAGGGTGCAGGTGCCTCCCAGTGAGTCTGGACACGATGGGGCCAGCCTGTGGGCCTGCCTACGCTTCTACGTCAGCCATGGCCCTGGGAGCTGCGTGGGCTTTGGGGAGGAGTGAGACCCCATCCTGGCTCTTAGGGAGATCACGTTCCTGGGAAGCAGGAAGTGCTGAGTGCCTGCCCAGAGGTGGGTGGACAGACTTCCAGCTAGAGGGGATGCCACGAGCTGGGCCTGCAAGGGGTCCGGCTCTGATGGGGCCAGGCTCTGCAGGGGAGGGTGGAAGCTTAAGAAAGGCGCACAGCTGGGGGGTTTGGGTGTGGCCAGTGCAGGATGAGCAAAGGGGATGGGCAGGGAAAAATCTGGGAAGACCTGAGTCTGGGGGAGCCTTCCCTACTCAGGCTGTGTGAGTTGCATTTTAGGGTGATTTATTTTGAATAAATGACAGTAAAGTAAAACAGCGCCTTCGCTCTTTGCCTAAAGACTAACCAAACTGATGAACAGAGAAGTGATTGCAACTGCCACAGAAGCCAAACTCTGCAGCCCACCCCAAACCATTGAATGAATTCAGGCCTGCCGTTCAGCTCGTGCTCTGCTGTTCAGGAAAAGCAGCCTGTTCAGTGGGAGAGGGCAAGGCTGCAGAGTCTGACTGGCCCGGGGTCTAACCCCAGCTCCACCACCTCTGGGCAAGTCTTCCAGATGTTGAGCCTCAGTTTTGTCCCCTGTGCAATGGGCCATGCCCCATAAACAGGCAGCAGGGTGAGGTCAGGAAAATGCCCGGCACGGAGCCCACACGTGATTGGTGCTCAGTGTAGCTGCCTCGGCTCCCTCCCCAGATAGTGATTGGTGTCCCTCAAAGGATCGTGGCCCATTCCGTCCGCCCAGGCCAGACCAGCTTCCAGGAGGCCTCCAAGGTGACTGTCACCGTGGGAGACAGAAGCTCTAACCTGAGAGGTAGAGAGTGAGGGGCTTGCTTGGTCTGGGGGAAGGGGGGAACTGGGCTCAGGGGCTCTGCTGCAGTTTTATCTGCTTTTCCCACTCAAACTCACGCCAAAGCCAGAGAGAGCATTTAAACCCCTGCTGGCCCATTCCTTCCAGCTTTTTAGAAATCCGAGTCCTCCACAAGCCGAGACCATGAAAAGAGATCTTCCTAAAAGAGCCTGGCACCCAGAAATGGCCTGTGTCTGAGCTGGAAATGCCACTTCAGCCCTAGGGCACTGAGTAAAGAAAGCCACACTTCACCCCCACTAATCCCAGAAAGTAATGACTTAGCAGGCCTCACTGCTGATTTTGATTTCTGTAATTACCTCTTCCAAGTCATGCATAGAACATTTGACCCTGTCCCTTGCCCATGACAGCCCTGGACAGCAGCTGTCAGAAATAAATACATCGATACGGGCTGTTTTGGGGTTGGTTTTTTTTTTTTTAACCACTTAACTGGTAGAATTAAATACGGCTGTTCTCGTTCTGATTGATGAGGCAGCTTTACTGCATCCAGTAACCTCTGTTTTCCTACTTCAGTGCATGGGGACAGCACCATGCAGTTGCCAAAATGATACTCAATGTATTAGTGGGGAACTGTTGCCCTCCTGATGTCCAGAAATAAATTGCCCATTTTCCCCTGCTGACAGGAACAGACGACGTGCATTAGTGGGCCAACCCATCTGCCGGGCTGCTGGATGCAGGCTCTAGCACAAATGCTCAAATTCGGATCCAAAACTGCCCACGATTCAGAATGACCCTCCTCCTCCCTAGAATTGTCCTCAGCTTTTGTAAACTGTGGCAGCATCGTGAAGCTTGGGGCAGCCCTGGGGCACCCTGTGTGCATCATTTTGCAACCCCGCCGGCCTGTGTGCGGCCTGCTCTCGCTTCTTCATTTTCGGGCTCTGCGGGCAGGTGCAGAGGCCCGGGTGGGCCTGGCCCACGCCCTTCTCATCCCCTTTCCATCTCCAGGTGAGTGCTCCCCTGCCCAGAGGGAAATCATGGAGACTCTGCACCCAGAATCCCTCATTAGCTGCCAGCTCCAATTCAAGCAGGACGTCTTCGATTTCCCAGCACGCGATGTTTTCACAGCAGAGCCAGGATTTGATGCAACTCTGGGTGAGTTCACGAGGGTCCCAGTGGGAAAACTGGCTCCTTTGGGTGTGTTTAGCTCACCGTCCCTCTGCACAGAGGGACCTTGTCTGTTGGGAGCTCCAGGGACTGATGCAACCCCTCTGGCCACTGGCCCCTTCCGGCCACCAGGAGGGGTTGGCAGGCCTGTGCTGGGTGGTGGCTGTTCTCCGCAGCCCCCCCTCCATGCAGCAGGAAGGACACTTCTGAGTTGGAAAAGCTGGCTTCAAGGCCCAAAGCCAATGGGTGTTGAGGCTCTGTGACCTGGGCAGGATGGTGCCTTGCCTGCCCGCATGTCAGGGCCGAGTGGTGCAAACAAGCCAGGGCTGGAAGGGTCCTGGGCCCACACGGTGTGTCCAAGCATCACCGTTCCACGGCCCGTGGAGCCGAAGGCTGGTGCCCTGGGGTTGGAGCAACTGCCTGGGCCCCCAGCATGCGGGCCAGGTGATACGGAGTGTCACCAACACAGCCTGAGGAGAGGAATGCCCTCCTGGGGCACTTCAGGGGTTCAGTAGGATAGTTCCTGCGACCTGCTTAGCATAGTGCCCGGCACACAGTCCTGTTACCAAGTCCTCGATGGTAGATGCCAATGTCATTATGATAATGACTGTTGATGAGCGTTTGGCCCACTTTTCAGTTCCTTCCAAGAACATGCTGCCCAGTCTTAATTAGGAGGAGTCAGCATCAGCACACCAGGCCCTAAGCCCAACCTGCTGTGCCCCATGGCTCGGGTCAGCACCCAGGCCGCTGCCTAAGACACAGGAGGTACGTCCTCAGGACACGTCGTGTGGGGCCCAAGCGCAGGGCTTGACACGGAGCAGGCACCTGGGGGTCCCGTGCCCTATTTATTTGCGAATGTGGCCCCATGAGGGTTGCGATGTTACTCCCACTTTATTGAGGGAAACTAGCCGACTCACCGAGGGACGCTTGGCTGGCATGGGCAAGGAAGGGACTCCAGCACAGGCACCCTGGTTCCAGACTGGGGGGCCCTCCAGGGTCCCGCTTGGCAGTGTCCATTTAACTCATTTGTCTACCCAGGGCAGGCATGGAGGGTCCAACAGGTATCAAAATAGTCCCAATCCATGCCCTTCCAGAACTTTCTGCTGTATCTGGGGCCATAGGCCGTACTGGGAGTCAGCCCCAACTGGCCTGGAGCCCAGCATTGGGGCAAGGTATCTGTTGATCATTTACTCACCGTCCCTCTGAGCCAGGACGGCTGGGCCCTGAGATGTGGAGCCGGCCCACGCCTTCCCACCCCAGGGAATGTCAGGGCGATGCAGATCTGGTGAACCAGAGCATTCTGAGAAAGGAGCGAGCAAGAGTGCTGGTCACAGAAAGGGTGTCCAAGCTGGACTGGGGGTACCAAAGAGGGATGTCCTTGGAGGGTCCCAGAGGAGGTGATGCCTCACCGGGGCTCTGAAGGATGAGAAGGAGTTGCCAGGAGAAAGTGTAGCATCAGGGCACGGGCAGGAGAGGGAACTATGTGGAATATCCTCGTCTCCACAGGCCGGTACCTCTGCTCGGTCACAATGCACAGGCTGACAGACAAACAGCTGAAGCATCTCAGCATGAAGAAGACGGTGCTGCTGGTCACCGCCTCCATCCCGGGCAGCCACGTCCCCGGAGAGCACGTGGGCGCCGAGGTGCCCTTCAGCCCAGGGCTGTACACTGACCAGGCTGAAATCCTGTTGAGCAACCACTACACCAGCTCGGAGGTCAAGGTCTTTGGTGCCATGGAGATTCTCGAAAACCTGGAGGTGAGTGGCGTCCATGCACGAGCCGGGGGCCTTGGAGAGGACCAGGAGGCAGGGATGCCCAGGTGGAACATGGAGGCCTGGACCACCTCTCTTTAAAATGAAAAATTAAAAAAAAAATGTAAATACGCCTTACCCTCTTCTTCCTTCCCACAGCACTAACGTTATCTATGAGACTGTATAATTGTATTAATTACTGTGACTTCTGCAAGTCTTCCCCAACCAGGAGTTAAGTATGTGAGGCCAGTTACTTAGCATAGGGCTTCCCTAGCACGTAGTATGTGCTCAATGAACATTTCGTATGTTCAATGAATGAAGTCAGTGCAGGAATGCATGCCGACATGGGGCAGGAGGAAAAAGCCCTAATCCCTGACCTATCACTGACACCTGCACAACTGGGGACAAGTCCCTGACTCCGGGCCTCGGTTTCCCCATCTGCTGAATGCTGGGTGAATGGTGTCCTGGGTCCTGCTGCCCAGCAAGCTGGGAGAAGATCTGGGGTGATGTGGTGAAGGGGTTTTTGGCTCCACTGTTTGCTTCATCATCCCTTGTCTTGCTGCAGTGAATATGGCTGAACATTCTTGGAGTGAGACAGGGATGAATTTATTGCTGGTGACAGAGGGTCTGCCAGGCCCTGGGGTTGAGCTGCTGGCGATCGGCCATAAACAGAGCTCCAGGCTGTTCCCTTGGAAAGTTGGCGTTTGATGATAGTTCATGTTAGTTTAGCATTTTTTTAAAGAGCACTTGATTAGAATTCAGTGATATTGATTTGTCCTTTCTTAAAAACACTCCAAGTATAGACACTGTGCTCCTTCCCTGACTTTGCAGATTTCACGCTGTCAGAAGTACCCAGGCATCATCACCTGCCTAGGAAGGGGGCCTGGGGAGGGGTCTCCACCCCTGGCCTTCGGGCCCAGGAGGGAAGCACAACATGTTAGGCAGAAGTGGGGGGGGGTGCTCCTCTCCAGCCCTAATGTCTCTCCCAGGTGAAATCAGGGTCCCCAGCCGTGCTGGCCTTTGAGAAGGAGAAGTCTTTGGGGCTCCCCAGCTTCATCACCTATACAGTTGGCGTCTCGGATCCCACGGCCGGCAGCCAGGGGCCTCTGTCCACCGCCCTGACCTTCTCCAGCCCCATGACTAACCAAGCCATCACCATTCCGGTCACCGTGGCCTTTGTGATGGATCGCCGAGGGCCTGGTCCTCGTGAGTCACGGGATGGGGCACAGCTGGGATGGGCCTGGGTGAGGAGGGCTGAGCTGGGTAGTCTTGGCTGTTTGTGGGAACCTGGGGGCGTCGAGAACTGGACGACTCAGAAACGCAGAACATCCCGCAAAGCGAATATCACTCATTCAAGCAGCCACACGCGCTTTGCTTCCCCGTCTGTTCTCAACACGGCAGCCAGAGGGATCCTGTTGAAATGTGACTAGATCATGCCCCTCCTCTGCTCAAACGCTCTTCTATAGCTCCCACTTCCCGAGGGAGATAAAGCCCAAGTCTCTCCAGTGTCTTGAAAGGCCCAGCATAATCTGCCTTCCCAACCCATTTATTATGCTTGTCTCCCCCTTGAGCACCTTCCTCCAGCCATGCTGGCCTCCGTCCTGTTTTGGGGACATGTGCAGCCCCCAGCTAAGTCCTTGGCATTCACTGTTCCCTCTGCCTGGGATGCCTGTCCCCCAGATAGCCCCTTGGCCCACACCGCCCCCTCCATCAAACCAACCTTCCCTCAAACATTCTCTGCTCATATAGTAGGAAACTTTGAACCTTACTTCCACTCAAACCCTTTTCCTTCTTCCATAGCACTATTCTCAACTGTCAGCTTATAGAATAATTAATACAATTAACTATGATTTCCACTGGTCTTCCCCAACTAGAAGCTAAAGTGCTGTATGTGGAGACAGCGCTTGGAACAGGGCCTACCTAACATACAGTAGGTGCTCAGTAATGGATGATTCATTGATTCTGTAGTCATTATTAGCACCTGCTGTGTGCCAGCCCCTGGGCTGGGCAGAGGCCTGAGGAGCCCGCCACCTCAGGGCATGGATTATAAACACAGTAAGAAAGGAATGATTGTAAAGATGGGGCTTAAGAAGTGGGAGGCACACAGAGGGGGTAATTTTACCTCTGCCAGCTTGAGGGTGCAGTTCAAAGGGGCTGCTTACACCAGGTCTGGAAGGAGGAGTGACCAGGGAGAGGGCGAGGCAGTCAGAAGGACCCTGGGGTGATGTGCAGGATGAAGCGCTGGGCCATGAGGAGCCTTAAACGCCAGGCCGAGGGCTCAGGCTTTTTCTTGAGAGCAGGGAAGTGGTCTGGTCAGGTCTGGCTGAGAGCACACTGAAGGGGTGGGACCAATGTCAAGGGCACTTGAAGAGGCCACCACCTCCTTCCTGCCAAGCAGGGATGTGTTCTGATACAGGACAGCCCAGTGGTGGGGGGGGGGAGGGGTGCAGGATGAGGTAGGGGGAGATGGAAGAGGAAGCCACAGTCTGGGCCACCCCGAGGCGGGGCCCCAGAGGAGGGGTGGCTTTGGAGCAGCTGATACTGGGCTCCCTTGGTGCTTGGGCCTCAGTTCTGAGAGCAGTAGTATCCCGGTCCAGTGCCTTTGCCCAACCCTGACTTCCATTGTCATGAGCAGTGCTGCTCACGGCTTGACGTTTTCAACACTGCCTTGCCTTTCCGGGCAACTTGGCTGCCTCCTGGGCAGCCCCTACCCTCCGACTCCCCCAGACAGGCCTGTTCTTCCTTGGAATGGGTACCGAAACTGAGCCCATTTCCAAGGAAGCGAGGTCTCAGGGACCTCGGGTGGAACTAGGTGGGTTCAAGTGGCCCAGGATGGAATAGGACGGAGCACTGGGGTGACCGCCCCACAGGACCAGACGCCGCCCCAGGCCTCAGGCAGGCCACCTCACCCTCTGGCCACCCACAAAGACACAAGGCAACTCCGCGCGTTGCTTTGGTGACTTGTCTTTCCATCGATCGCAGACGGAGCCAGCCTCTTCCAGCACTTCCTGGACTCCTACCAAGTCATGTTCTTCACACTTTTTGCCCTGCTGGCTGGGACTGCTGTCATGATCATAGGTGAGGTGGGCCACATTGTGTGCCCTGGGTTGCTCCCCACCCCCCACCCCAACTCTAACCAGCCACGTGGTCTTGCAGCCTACCACACGGTCTGCGCGCCCCGGGAGCTCCCCACACCTCCGGCCCTCTCCCCACGAGCCAGCCCTCGCCACAGCCCCCACTGTGAGTAGCCCCCCGACAGATGCAGCCAGGCAGGGCTGGGGCTAAGAGGGAGGGGTCCTGAGGGAGGAAGTGGGCCCTGAACCCCAAGTCTCAGAAGCTCTGGCCCTGGGCAGGAGCGGCAGCTGAGGTGTGAGGCCCAGAGGGCAGACTGGGGAGCTGGTGAGGGGAAACGTGTCGGTCCTGGGCGAGGAGAGCTTTCCCCAGGCAGGACGGTGCAGGGCAGCAGGCTGGCGGCAGCGAGTTGTCTCTGACGGTGTGCTCGCTGGGACTGTCTCCGCCCTGCCGGGGCTGCCACCAAGGGCTCTAAGCTGGGTTGGGCTGGCTGACTCAGAGGTAAGGGTTCTGGACAGTCCTGATGACGGATCTCCCAGAGGAAGAGCAATCACGAGGGCCGTTTCTCTTCATGGTCCGGTTGTCTCTGGTGACCCTGAGGTCCTGGTGACCCTGTACGGCTCCAGGGGACACTTCTCCCTGTGAGAAGGGCAGTGCCTGACCATGAGGGCGCATGGCAACCCTTATGTCTTCTGTGTTCCATTGGAGGGTTCTCTCCCCTGAACAGTTGTCTACTGAGCCTAAGGGGGCATGGCCAGGCTTCAAAGAACCTGAATTTTTTGGAAGAGAACAGTTTTGTGCATAGATGCATTTTCCTGGGTGACAAGATCCCGCATGCATCCTGGACCCCTAGAACCATAGCCTTCCACAAACGTTCCCCAGCCACCCTGGCGGTGGGCATTCACCTTTTCTAACCCCATCTCCCAATACACCCCTCCCTCTGTGTGTCGGAGCCACTGTGGAGTTTGGCATTATCTCTTGAACACTCCAGACTCTTCCGCTCACATTGGAGTCTTTGTTCATGCAGCTTCCTCTGCCCAAGGAGCAGTTCCTGCCCAGATGGACAGGCTGACCTCCCTGCACGCCCTGCGGACCCATGGACGCTTCCATGTGGTCCTGAGACCCACTCCTTGCTCTCTCCCACAGGTCTGCTGTGGGGGGAGTCAGGGCTTACGCTCCAGGCCTCTCTGCATGTCCGGCCATCACCTGTTCCTTGGGTGACATCGCACCGCCGGCCCAGGGCCGCCTGGGGGTGTGGTGGGGGCGGGTGGCTGACACTTCTTCTGTCGGGAGCTGTTCTGACGTGGGCACTGAGGAATCCCTGAGGAAGGCCGAGCTCTCCCATCTGCTCTGTCACTCACTTCTTCCCTCTCCACTCTAGATTTCGCTGCCTCGTCGCTGACGCCTTTCAGCGCACTGCCTCCCAGCCGTAGAGCCAGCCCGCACTCAGGGCTGTGGAGCCCCGCGTACACCTCCCACTAGCCGGGGGGCCGGCCCTGCGCCCCCACGGTGGGGACAGCGCCAGGCCCCGCTCGCTGCCTGCTCCGTTCTGTAGTTCAGGCTGTGCCCGCTCGCTGCTGCTTACACGCAGGAATTCCAGTTGGCTTTGGTTTGGTTTCGTTCTTAGCCTTTGCGAAGACACTGGCTCATTCCTTCGTGCCTGGCTGTCTGGGGTTTCTGGACAACATATAGTCGTGCTTTTGTTTCTCTCCAGTCTCTAGAACCACTCTCTTCTCAAGACTTTGAGCAGGCAGAAGCTCCATTTCCTAGGAGGGGATGTGACCGCGGTGGCCTCAGGGAAAGGACTTTTTAATCACTTCATTTTTGTGGGGTGTTCCCCTCACGTGAAAACTTTACCCCTAGTCTGGCTCCTGCTAGGAGATGAGGGGAGGGAACAGACGTGAGTGTCAGGTGCGGGCCCCGTGACTGCACAGAAGCCTCAGGAACGCAGCGGCGGGGACCCCGTGCTGGCTCAGCCTCCCCAGGGGGGGCGAACGCTCACGCGCCACGGGAGCCGGGAGCCGGGCCGCTTTCCGCCCCTCTGTGGGCCACTGTGACTAAGCATGGGAACATCCCCTGGACATGGCCACAGCACCACTGGGATGTCCTGTGGGGTCTGGTTCCTTCTCCCTCTCCCGGCCTCTCTATGGAATCGTAGTTAGGAAGATGTCCTTGAGCCAGAGACCCGGCTCTGTTCTTCTGTGTGTTCTCCTGGAGAAGCCACTGTGTTCCGCCCAAGCACAAAGACCCAGTGTTATCTGTTCCTCCTTTTGCATCTCAGCACACCTGAGCCTCTGGCCCGCCCGGTGCGGGCGCCAGTCTCCCCAGGGCAGCCCTCCCCGGCAGGCCCCGGAGCCCGACCTGGCCAGCGAGGGGGGTGGGCCTGCCCTCCAGGAGGGGGCTGGGAAGGAGAAGCCGATGAGGAACAGGCCCTCCTCCTTCCCAGACCCTTGTTCATGCAGCATCGGAGGCCCCCAGAATGCGGCCCCTCTGCCCTAGGCCGAGAGCCGTGCCACTCTCAGGATGAACTGGGACGCCCCGCAGGGCCAGGTGTGCGTGGCCACTGTGTGTGGGGAGTCGTCCCCTTGACTCTGAGCCACAAGTGTGAATCCGCTTCAGGCCTCTAGGGCTGGACCATGTGATTTATTTTTGTAAACCTGGAGACAGGAAGAATTGTGCCTTGCATATTACTTGAGCTCAAACTGACAACTTGGATGTAAATAGGCGCGTTTCTACTTGGTTTATTTAATAAAGCTCTCTAATTTCGTAAGAGGGGCGTGCTCATTGCCAGAATTGCAGGCGTCCTGCCTGGGGAGCAGGTCTGTTCTGCTGCCCCACTGTGCCACACTCCCCCTCTCTGACTGGCCACCAAGGACTCCTGCCCGTGCTGTCTTCCCCTGGCTGCCAGCCCTGAGGACGTGGCAGCCCCGCCCACATGTCACTGGCTATCACCACGGCCCCCTTTCTCTCTCTCTCCCTCCCTCTCTTCCTTGGGAGCTGTTCCTTCCTCCTGCCCTTCCTGCCCTCCTGCCCCACTGGCTTCCACCCCCACTTTCCTCAGAAGCTGACCTCCCTGGGATCACCATCCCCCTGCTTACTGGGCCCCAGCGCCTCCCCCTCTGTCTGTCCCAGTGCTTGCTCCCCTCAGGGGTGGTCCCCTGCCGTCCCTCCATGACACCCCCCCCCCCGCCCCGGGCCTAGCCTTCTGCTTTCACAAAGTACTCACAGGCTCACCCCGAGGGCCCGAGGCAGGTTCTGCTGTCCTGTGTCGTGGGTGCAGGAGTGGAGCAGATGCCTAGAGAGATCAATTGGCCGCCCAAGGTGGCAGGCTGCCCGGAGCTGCCTCTGGTCGAGGCCGCCTGTCCCCCACATCACCCGCCTTCATCCTTAGGACCCAGACCACTGACTCGGAGCTGGGTGGAGAGTGGCCACAATACACTCTAGGTCTTCCAGCCCTTTTGGCAGCTGGAAGCCAATAATGCAACTACATTGTGGGGACAGAATGTGAGCAATGGTGTCCCGTGCAGCTCGTGAAACGGACTAACGGGAGGTGGTGCCCCCCACACCACGTTGTCCCTCCCCTGGCTGGGCAGACCGGGTAGGGGCCACCAGAATGGCTAGGCCGTTGTCTGTGGAGCCTGTGCGCGGACCCAGGACGGCCTCCCTTGACAGGAGAGAAGGATACTCCCAGGAGCTTCAAGGTCAAGTGGGTCTTCTGCCGCGGCCAAACCTCATCCCAATGGATTCAATGGCAGCACCCGAAAGCAAGCCTGGCGGCCGAGCTCTGTGCCCCCCTCCTGCAAGCCATACCCCACATCTAGCCACCGCCTGGCCAGAGCTCTGCCCCCGCCACCATGGACACACTTGCCCCTGCACGACTGAGGTCCCCTCCTCGGGCCCTCCTCGCCCATACCCTACATCTGGCCAGTCTCTCATGAATCTGCCCTTTTCTTGGCCCAGGGCCCCCCCACCCCCAGCATGAGGTCCCAGGCTCCCCACCGGCCTCCCTGCCCCAGCATCTCCTCATCTCTGTTGCCCCATTCCCGCCCCTGGCTGCTCACAGATCTGACCGTCACCCCCTCGTGCTTACATGCTGCGACAGCCCAGCCTGCCCCTGGGGTGGCTGCCACCCCTTGGTACACATCCAGTAAACTGCAGTTTCCCAGACAGGTTCTGCCCCCTCACCTCTGCTCTTTCTTCTCAGGTAGAAGCTGCCCCCCCAGGCCCTGGGGCTTTGATACCAGCCAGGGCTGGGGTGGGTCCTACACCCACCTTCTCCTGCCTGTGTGTTCTTGCTCTGGTCTCTTCCCCACTCTGGGCTTCAGTTTTCTCCTCTGCGAAGTGGGCACAGCAGTGCCTTCAGAGTTACTGTAAAAATCAGCAAGATGCCTTGTATGAGGCTTTCTTCCTTGGGCAGTGGGTTGGTGAAGAGGGGTGCCCTCTCTCCCGGAGGAAATGGCTGGTCTGACCCTCAGAAGGGATGGCTGGGGTCGGGGGAGGCCCCAGCTCCTTGTGGATTACTCTGTGGGGCAGATCTGGCACTGAGGGCCCCGGGCAATGGGGGTGACTGGGCACAGAAGTGCTTGGGGGACAAGGGCCAACTTTAGGATGTGTAAGCCCATGTCATGGCCTGCCCACACTGAGAAGCTAAGTGCAGAAGCTAAAAAGCTAAAATCACCATCGGTGCCCTGGGCCTGGTTTCCCTGATTGGGAAATGAGGAGGACACTGTCCTCACGAGGCTCCTACGAGGACAAGATAAGCTGATAGACGGGAGGTGCAGTGTCCACATGTGCTCCTGTCACTGTTGTTGGGGAAAACTGGTACGGGGCCCATAAGGAGTCCAGATGGAGACAGAGTGTTCGTTTGCAGAATGGTGCAATAGACAGCAAGTGAGCAGGAGGGAGGGTGCTCCCCCCGTCCACTGGACCTCTGCTGTCATTCCCTATGCTGTGTTGCCATTGTCTGACCCCAGTACCCCTTCCCAGCTGGGACCTCCTTGAGGCTGGGTCTACCACGGTCCCGGGACCCAGCACACGGAAAAACCTAGAAAGCATTCAACCTATGTTCAGCACAGGGCCTGCCTGGCATGCAGCACTCAATTTAAGCGTCAGTATTGCTTTCAGGGAGGCCTCCTCACTGACACAAGATGGGGCTGCCAAGATCCAGGCATCACATCACAACCAGACATGGCAGCATCCACAAGAAGAGGAGAAGCAGAGAGACAAGCTCTCCCTGTCTCCTTCTAAGGACTAAAGACGTCTTCCCTGGAAGGCTCCTCAGCAGACAGCTCCCTCCCTATCTGTAGCTGGGGTTGGTTGTCATGGCTAGTGAGGACAATGGGATGATCACACCCACGTATGGTGATCCTTCAGGGTTGACCGGATGTCAGCATGTCAACCCCCTCAACTTCTTTCAGATCAAAATAGAAAGGTCTCTGCATCTGCTCAGTTGGTTTCCTCTCGGATATGGTATTTTCTTCCCTTTACCCATCTCAGATACTCTAGAGAGACGGCCAGACACGCAGGCAGGAGGCCTGGGCCTTCTTATGCTCAGAGGTGACCACCATTTTAAAGCACACACAAAGACAGCAAACACACGTACTGCCAGAAGCAGGCCGACCTTGCCAGAAGTGAGTGCATTGACAAAACCAGAGGACACCCAGCACGTTCAGCTTTCTGCTCCCAAACCATGCAACTTTCACTCTCTAAAGGGTGCCAAAAAATGCTTTTAGCACCATTTAGCACTAAAAATACAGTATTGCATATAGGTTTTTTTTTCCTCCAGAATTCCTAAGTTTGGACAAAAATTAACTCTCTGTATCTGCTTCTCCGTGTGTGTGTGTGTGTGTGTGTGTGTGTGTGTGTGTGTGTGTGTCTTGGGCGCTCTGGAAATGTTACATCTCAAGGTTGGATGGACTGGCTAGGAGAAAGCCCAGGACCTGGGGCATCCAGGATAAAATGGCAAAGGTCTAGGCTAGTGGGGAGTGTGTGAAGCTTAGAGATCAGGTGGCCAGGAGCGTAGACCTGCCTGCTGGGGCTAGAGAGCAATCATTTTACCTTTCTGGACCACAGCAGTTCCCTATTGTATAAAGTGGCCATTCTAACATTTGCCTGCCCACCACCCTGAGTGGCTACCAGCGGGAAGCAGGTGCATTATCATCCCAGGCTTCTCCCTCTTTGCAAACACACCCCTTAGAGTCTGCGTATATTCCCTCCCCATGGAAGTTGGCCATGGTCCTGTGACTTGACATGGTAGAATGTGGTGAAAGTGACAGCATGTCAGTTCAGAGCCTGGGCTTAAAGAGGCCTCGAGTGTCCACTCACCCTTCTTGTGCTTCTGCCTTTGACATAATAATAAGGAAGTTCAGGTAACTGCTGGTCCAGGGAGGAGGAAAGACACCTAAAAGGAACCTGAAATGAATCTGCCCATCCTGGATCCACTGACCTGCAGACCCATGACTCAATGAATGATGGTTGTGAAA